CAGCACTGCTAGGTGTGGCCCCAAAACCAAAAAATAAAACAATAAACAAATGCCACGGCCTTCAACTGGGCCCTTCCAAATTACAAAAACCAAGTGACAACTAGAGACACTGAAGGGGCCGGAGCATACTCCAGCAGGTAAGGTGGTGCCTCACACACATGGCTGACCCCTGTTCAATCCCTGGCACCTCACCTGGATGACCCCTGCGTTCAGAGCCAGGAGTAATGTGTGGCACCACTGGGTGTGGCCCAAAAACAAAAAAAATAGTAATAAGGAAATTTAAATATGATAGGTTATTGGTGAAACAAAGAACTGAACTTTTTCTTTATTTATTTTTGCTTTTTGGGTCACACCCGGTGATGCACAGGGTTTACTCCTGGCTCTGCACTCAGGAGTTACTCCTGGCGGTGTTCAGGTGGACCATACGGGATGCTGGGAATTGAACCCAGGTTGGCTGCGAGCAGGCAAATGCCCTACCCACTGTGAACTTTTTCTAATGGTCTTTTTTTACTGGTCTGGTGGGGCTGGGGGACTGTGTGAGGGTAAAACCGGTCAGGAGTGGGTAACTTCTGAAGGTTGGATAGCCAGCAAATTAATTTACTGTTTGGGGGCCACACCTGGTGATGCTCTGGGGGCTCGATCATCTGGGATGCCAGGGACTGAAGCCACGTCAGTCACCAGCACCGCAAGCTGCTGTGCAATCTGGGTCACGCCTAGAAGGGCTCAGGGAACAACAGGATCAAACCCAGGTCAGTCAGCGCAAGGCAAGGGCCTAAGCCCCTGTACCACCTTTTGGGCCCAACACAGATGTAGAGTGGACGTAAGCAGTGAATGGATGAAACAGACCCCCAGCCTGGCCTTGCTCGGGGGAGACAGGCACAGCGCGCCAGCCGGTGCCGAACGCTCCCCTTCACCCGTCTCCCAGGCCTCGACTCTGGGACCCAGGGAAGCACCCACACCAACCCGTGCAGCCCCCAATGCAGCCCATCACCCGCAGACCTGCGTGCCTGAGGGAAGGGGACTGGGCCCCTCCTGTCCAGGGCTCACAGACGCCCAGCAGCCCAGCCTCCTTGGCCAGTTTGGACACTGGACGCAGCCCCCCGGGCTAGAGGGGACTCCACGGCGGGCTGCAGCAGACAGCACAGGCCCCTCGATGCTCAGAGGCTCTTCAGGTTATAGCCGGATTGGGGTTTTCTTTCTTCTGGTGATCTGGACAACCCTGTGGGGTGCTGGGCACTGAACCCGGACACCTAACATCGGCTGTGGACACCCAAGTCAAGCACCCTCCCCACTTCACTACTGCTTTGGATTTTGCATTGGGATTTTAACTTTCTGGTCCGGGGACTCTTTACACCTGCCACGTCCTCTATAAAAAGCAGAGGGGCTGTAGAGATAGCACAGCACGGAGCACGCTTGCCTTGCATGTGTTAGGCCCAGGCTCAATCCCTGGCACCTCATGTGGTCCTCCAAGCCCGCCAGCAGTGATCGCTGGACACAGAGACAGAAGTAAGCTAAGGGGGGTGGTGGGGGGGACGCACACCGATGGACACACACACACACTGTTCTGATTCACTAAAAAACACCACACAACCACCTTACAACATAACCAAAGAGCATCTTATCTCAAAGAACCAAGGTCTTCTGTACCTATCAGTCCTTCTTTTCCTCTCTCACTTGTCTGGGAAGATTAGAACTAGCCCGCTGCTAAGGGTAGGCTGCGTTTTCCAAGCAGCAGTGGAATTTTTACAACATTTGGCTTCTCACTGACCCTGAAGATGGGAGTAGTGTGACTCTGAACAGGCTGTAACATAATCAATGGACCTCAGACTCCGAGAAAGTATGGAACAGTAACTGATAAGGATGCAAGCTGAAGGAACAAAAGGGATCTTGTGCCGCAGGGAGAGACCCAGCGGGCTAGCATTCAGGCTCGCATTCAGGCTGCCTCGGAACAAACAATGAACAGAACTGGTTCTACTGGCAGAGGTCCCGATTTACTCAGGCTCAAACAAGTTCCGAGTTCCGCCCTACTCTGCCCCACGGAGTCCAATCTGAAACCAGCACAAACTGGAAAGAGAAAAATATTGCCCCAAACAGTAGGCTACTTAAGAGCCCATGAATGCATTTCAAAACAAGCCTTTGTTTGTGAAAGCCAAAGTCCTTGGGTATGTCTTTCTTAAAAAATATCTTCTGGCTCGCACTGTGAGAGGATGTGAGTTGGACCCCCAGCAGCCCCTGATGTCCCCCAAAACCCCCACTGCACGCCACCACCACCACCACCACACACACACACACACACACACTCACACATATGCGAAAAGTTCAAGAAAACACACTTAATAGTGTCACGTGGTGACATTTTCCTTGAACTCTAAGTTTAGTTCATTACAGAGTCCCTCCCCTTTGTGGAACGGAAACGTACAATACTTGGGGTCTGAGTGCCACACGGAGTAGCTAAAGAGGTGCGGGGGTTGAGGACCTAGCTCAGAGGTCAAAGAGGAGCACTGCACGCGTGAGGCCCTGGCACTAGGAGGGACAGTTAATAGAAAGGGCCAGACGACAAGTGTCAAAGAGCAGAAAAGCAATTCCATGACAATAACTTTATCCCAGATCATCTCACAGAATGGCTCCAGGCTTCAACTGAGCAACAGAGTGGCAGACTGAGACAACGTGGGCTTAGGCCCAGGAGTGAGGGCTCCTGAGTGAAAGGTTTCCAACAAACTAACCACTCCCCGGCCCCTAGGGAGTTGAAAGAGCCACGAGACGGAATGCGAAGATTCGGCCTTTGCTCAAATAAAGCACGGCCACCTAGTTTGGTGTAGAGCAGTTTTGCATGAATGAGGCCCCGGTTCAATCCCCAACACCAAAAATCAAATTTCAAAGATGGCAGAAAGAGCACAACCATACAACATTTTTTAAAAATCTCATCTTGCGTTCCGGCCCGTCCTTCACGCCCTACCGAGGTCACCAGTTGCCCCCCACGAGCGGCTCTCCGGCACGGCCAAGACTCCAGAGCACAGAAACCAATCTCTTAATTATCTGACTTTTAGTAGAAATACTTCCAGGGTTAATAAGTAAAATAGCAGAAATCCAAAACCGCGCGGCCACGACAACACTTAATTCTTGATCCCAGCTGTAGAAAGCAAATCATTTCACAACGCTTTTTCAGCATGTCTGATTTAATAATGGTGCATCTTTTACCGAAACAATGAAAGTCAAAGTAGATAGAGTGTTAACTAGAACTCATCTGCCTCACAGGCATCGGGAGGGGTGGGAGGTGGGGTTCTATTGGGGTTCGCGGTTAAAAATAAGTATTGGTAAAGGGAAATGTGTTTGATATTTGCATGACTGAGACCTAAACCTGAAAGCTCTGTAACTTTTCCCACAGTGATTCAATAAATAAATTATAAAAAAAAATCATCTTGGTTAAATATCAGACCTGGCCCTAAGCAATGATGTTCTCTTTTTTTACACGCTCCCCTTGCCGTGTCACTTCATGCCTACTGCATGCCAACACCCTTCGTGCAGCTGAGATGGTCAAAGGACTCCAAAGGCCTTCTGGCCCCCCCCACGGTACAGTGTCGCAGGACCTTCCATAGATGGCGAAAGGGAGGCCGGTGCTTGACCTTCCTCACTTAAGACAGGAGCGAACTCTTTCCGCCTCAGAGCTGAGCACACGGCCCTCCGTAAGTGTGTCGGGCGAGTTCCACACCACGCTGGAGAAACCTCAACTCCTCTAGTCAGAGACCAAATCCGACACACAATCCCCTGAAGCAGCGCTATCTGCACGTTACGGCAGCCAAACTGTCAGCTGTGCTGTGATTCAGCTCTTGAGGCTTTGGCTTGTGTGGTTCGGTTTTGGATTCTGCGGGGGACCCTCCTGAGCATTTTACCAAGTCAGCCAGTTTAACGATTTGGACCCAGGGATGGGGTACTGCTCGGGCCAGCGGCACCCCCACAGTGCTCAGAGTCGGCTGGTACAGGGAAGCCTGGGCTCCCCCGCGGCAGCTGCCTCTCCAGCCCTCGGTGCGGGCCGCACTGCCACAGGACGAGAGGTGGCCCGACCGCCAAACTGCAGAGCTCGTGTCAGGGCCGGATTTTAATCTACGCCAACAACTAGAATGGACACAAATGTCTATGAAGTGCCGGAGGGAAGGGCCTGGGATGTGGCTCAGCAGGAAGGCGCAGGCCTTGCGTGTGTGAGCTGCTGGGTTCAATTCCCAGCACCGCAAAAGAGAAAAGGAAAAGCTGAGCGCAAAGGCCCACACATCCCAGAAATTCAGTCACTGGGAAGCGCTAAGGCCCCTCTGCCCAGGATCGGAATCGCAGCCGCCTACCTCACCTGGGCACGAAATGATGGCTCAGTCTACACCTTTAAAACTGCCCCATAAGGGAGCCTAGGGAAGTGACAAAACTGAAAGGAAGGAGAATCACTGCTTCAAAACTTTAAGAGGGGGCTGCAGCAACAGTGCAGGGGGTAGGGCACTGGCTTGTGCACAGAGAACCCGGGTTCAATCCCTGGCACCCAAGATAAACCCTGAGCACTGCCGAGAGGCCCTGAAACAAACAAACAAACAAAAAAATCCAAGTAATCCGATGGCGGTATCCAGCTAATCATAAGCTTTTAAGTCTGAGCCCAGCAGATTATTTTTGTACTGTCAGAAGCGCATCTGCACAGTTCTCAGGCAAACTCATGGGCCGCAGGAAGAATATGCCTGTACCATTGCGGGCCACTCGGGCCGCGGTTTCTGGATTCCACGAGCGGGACAGGTGCCAGGGAAAACAAGGCATGACATTTCACAGCAGTCATTTGCCACTAATGCCACTTTCTCTTTTCCTTTCAGTTCTGGACCACGCCCAGCTGAGCTCAGGGGACCCTATGTCCTGCCAAGGATCCAGCCCGGGTCAAGCGCTGCACCCGCCCGTTTATCTCGTGGACCCCCTTAGGGAATTACAGACACTTTCACTTGAGTGGGAAAGAAGCTTCAGTAAAACACACTTACAAGAGGTAGCAGCACACCGAACACGTCACCAGCATGGTGATGATGACCCTGAAAGAAAAAAGCGCAGCGTCAGACCAAGGGCACAGGCGGCAGACACTAGCGAGCCCACAGACTGAGAAAGTGGATCGGATCGGATCCAGAGCCGTGGAGGCCACGACGCACCGGGGGTGAACATGATGAGTTTATGCCACCGGCATTGTATTTAGTTTAAAGGGACCCAATCTTGTGCCACGGATGAGCCCATGCAACTGAACACAGACTTACAGACAACTGAATGTGACACCCAAATACATCGACTCCCCTGTTGCGGGTATTTTCTGTATTAAAATAACTCATTATTTTTTTAGATTTTGGGCCACGCTGGCTATGCTCCGGGCAGGCCTGGGCTAGGGGAGACCAGGTGAGGGGCCCCCTCCCCCTCCGGCCTCAGGAGCCCAACATGTCTGAGGACTCAAGATCCCGCTGGCGCTCTCCTGCCCGCAGGGAAGCGCCCACTCCCCCCCTCTGCTCAGCTCAAGTTCTGAGCTCCTGACTCACAGGACTCTCCTCCCAAAGGCCTGGCGCCGAAGTCACGATTTCCGAGAAGCCCTGGGAATGGCGAAGGCCCCTCTGCCCAGGATCGGAATCGCAACCTCCTACCTCAACTGGGCACTAAATGATGGCAGCTCCTGGGGGCAGGAACCCAACCCAGCCCCACGGGGCCACAGCACCGGCTGACAGGCCAACCTCTGGCCGTCTCCCGACATCTGCTGGTCGCCCAACGCCATGGACACGTCCTCGGAAGCCCCTCGCCTGTGTGGGTTCCTTCCCTCACCATCTCCAGCACCCCAAGTTAGCAGGTTCCCTCGCTGCTGACAAATTCAACACTTTCTTCCTTCCCTTTTTATTCTCACCCATCTCGGAGTCCTCAAAGTAACTCCTTCACTGGGACCACTCAGAGCACAGCGCAGAGGGCGCTTGCCTTGCACGCGGCCAACCCGGGTTCCATATCTGGCACCCTGTATGGTCCCCCAACCCCTACCAGGACTGATCCCTGAGCCCAGAGCCAGGAGTAAGCCCTGAGCACTTCCAGGTGTGGCCCCAAAACAAACAAACAAACAAAAAATCACTTCATTCTATAGCTTAATTACCTTTCAATGTCCCACAACCCTGGCCCTGCAAATCATTTGGGGTGGGGGGAAGGGAAGAGCCTCGGGATACCACTGGGTATGGCATCACCCCCGAGTCCCCAATAAATAAAGTTTTGCAGTTCTTGAGGAGATGGGGAACTAGCACTAATTCCACACTGAGTTTCCATTTTGTGGTGAGGAAATGGAAGTGTGGAAAAGCTGGCTAACTCGTCAAGGTCATAGGTCTCCTGTCAGCGGGGAAGTTTCTCCGAATGACATAAATACCTTCCAGGAGGGACCTTTCATCTCAAGGCCTTAACCCTGCTCAGTCCTGCCAAGAGCAGGACACAGGAGGCCTGGGCGGCCTCTCACCCAGGGGTCGGGCTGCACTGGAACCGGATACCAGCATAAGGGCGAGAAAGGGAGCACACAGGAAGGAGGGGGTGCGTGATCCTGCATGACCAAGGCTGGGGCAGCCGAGTGTGCTGTGCCCTCGGGGGGCCCCAAGTTATGTCTCTGGCTCCACTAGGAGAGGTGGATCCCTCCAGGCACCGAGCCGGGGGGCTCCTCAGCACCGCTGGATGTGGTCCAGGAAGAAAGAGACAAGCCCCCTGCAATCAGCACGTTACTAAATGCTTTTCTGAGTATACAGGTCGTCAAGGCAGATGGCAGCCAATGAAAATGAAAGCACGCCATCAACTCCACAGCTGGTAACTCCACTAGCAGAAACAAGTTCAAAAACTGTTGAAAAGGTAAACAAAGCAAAAAACTCCATGGCTGGTAACTCCAATAGCAGAAACAAGTCTGAGAAACCAAATTTGGTTAAAGCAGATGCTTTGAATTTCAGAATCCTGACACTTCTAGGGGGCCTCCCTGTTACCACATCAAAGAAATCATCTACCAAGTTTTTCTTTTCTTTTTGGTTTTGCGGTCATACCCCACAGTGCTGAGCAGGGGCTGGAACCGAGGGCCCTGACCCCATTACTCTTTTGTTTTGTTTTGTTTTGTTTTGGGGGCCACAGCTGGGTGCCCTTCTGGCTCTGTGGCCTCTGGGAGCACTCCTGTGGGACTCAGGGGACCCTCTGCAGCGCTGGGGACCAAATCTGGTTCAGTCGGGTGGAAGGCATAAGCCTTCCCTGTGGTGCTCTCTGGACCCAGTTCTTCTTTTCCTTATTTACTGATTTACTTTTTTGGAGGGGCCGCACCCGACAGTGCTCAAGGCTTACTCCTGGCTCTGTGCTCTGGGATCACTGCAGGTGGGCTCCGGAGATCATACGGAATGCCAGGTATCAAATCCGGGTTGGTGGCTGACAAGGCAAGTGCCCTCCCTGCTGTACTATCGCTCTCCACGGCTCCGCCCCCTGCCCCATTCTTTTTCAGCAAATGATTTACTTTTAAGTGAGATTTGAAAAGAAAAATAAGAACATGTCTAGGGGCCTGAGTGACAGTATGGGGGGAGGGTCTTTGTCTTGCACGGGGTAGACCTGGGCTCAATCCCCAGCATCCCTGTGCCTAGCCAGGAGTAGTACGGAGCCCGGAGTGACACTGAGCACTTTCCTGAGTGCAGAGCCTGGAGTAACCCTGAGCATCGCTGGGGGTGACCCAAAAACCAAAAAACAAAAACAAAAACAAAAAAGTCTAGAATAGTCCTATCCCAGACACAAAAAAAAGGGGATCAGGTCACAGACTTACAGAGGCCAAGACCACCTTCTCTTCTCTGGCCAGGGCAACGGAGAGCTACTGACCGAATAAAGGGTAATTCTGACCCGAATAAAGGGTAATTCTGACCCGCTGTGACCGCATCGATGAGGTCACGTGACATTGCGCCTGCGTCTGCGCCTGCGCCTCGCCGCGCCCCGCAGGGTCCCCGGGAAGCGGCGTCCCAGGCGCTCTCCGCGGCCGGGCCCGGCTCCTGCGGGGCAAAAGGGCTGGGGGCGACCCCCGAGGCCCGGCCGGGCTCCTGCGGGGCAAAAGGGTTGGGGGCGACCCCCGAGGCCGGGCCGGGCTCCTGCGGGGCAAAGGGGCTGGGGGCGTCCCCCGAGGCCAGGAGGCGACCCCCGAGGCCGGGCCGGGCTCCTGCGGGGCAAAGGGGCTGGGGGCGACATCCGAGGTCAGGGGGCGACCCCCAAGTCCGGTCCGGGCTCCTGCGGGGCAAGGGGGCCTGGGGCGACCCCCGAGGCCCGGCCGGGCTCCTGCGGGGCAAAGGGGCCTGGGGCGACCCCCGAGTCCGGGCCGGGCTCCTGCGGGGCAAAGGGGCCGGGGGCGACGCCCGAGGCCGGGCCGGGCCCCTCCGGGGCACAGGGGCCGGGGGCGCGTCCCGGGGCCGGGCCCGGCTCCTCCGGGGCCGCAGCGCGCGGCCTCCCCGCGCCCCCCCCCGCCGCACTTACCCCCGGTTCGGGCCCTTGGGGATGAACCAGGGCACCAAGAGGCCGACGAAGCCCCAGAACACCGTCATCACGATGAGCGGCACCGTGAGCCCGCTGTACGCCATCGCCGGGTCCCACCGGAAGTGCCGGCGCCCCGCGTGACCCCGCGCACGCGCAGGCGCGCCCACGTGACCCGCGCCAGGCCCCGCCCCCCGGAGGGCTGGCCGGCGCTCCTGAGCCCGCCGCGAACGGGTCGGGGTCCCCGGGACCCTCCCGGAGCCCCCGGTTCCCGACGCTAAGCGGCGCGCGCAGCAGATCTCTCCGCGGGAACGCGGCCCTTTCAGGGAGGGTCTCGCGATTCTCGACTGTGCCTTGACACAGAACCTGCGGGCCAGGCACGGGGCTAAGAACTTCAGGTGCCCGAAAGGGGCCCGGGTACTTCGCAGCAGCCCGTGGGGTGATGAGAATTATTGCCCTCACTTTTCATTTGGAGAAACCGAGGCACCAGGGGCGGTCACAGAGAACGCTTGGCAGGGCACTTGCCTTGCATGAGGTCAGCCTGGTCTCCGTCCCTGGCAGCCAGCCTGCAGGGCTCCCCTCTGGGCGCCTGGGGGTGTGCCCCCCTCCATTAGAAAGTCACGATCACGACCATCCTGTTGTTCGTTGATTGCCTCGAGCTGGCCCCAGTAACATCTATTGGTCCTAGCCCTGAGATTTTATTTTTTTTAAATGCCATATTCAAGGCTCTTTCAGGATTAGGAGAATGAGACCCATCATTGTTACTGGTATTTGGCATATTGGATACGCCACGGGGAGTTTGCCAGACTCTGCCGTGTGGGCAGGTAACATTTGGTAACCTGCCAGGTTGTCCAAAGTAATTAGAAAGTCACCAGGTAGGAAATGTAGCAGCATTCAACTACTGGAAGTACGCCCCCCCAACCACCCACCCCACTCCACCCCTTCGTTCCCACGCGCTGCCCAGCGCTCACACCAAATGCCCTACTTTCCATTTATCTTGCATTCTGTGTTCTGGGGTGACAGACACCAATTAGACCTCAGCCCCAGGGGTCCAGGGAGATGGGGGTGGGGTGCTCCTAGATGTTGTGTGAAGGCAAAGAGAACATCCCTGGAGTCTTGGGGCTACAGGACCCAGCTGGTCCTCAGCTGAACCTTGACAAAGGGCCAGAATTAACCAGAATGGGAAGAGGAAACAGGTTTTAGCAGTTGTCAAGTGGTGTCACGTGTTAATTACAGAACGCCCCAGCCCTGGGTTGGGACAGAGGAGCACAGCCAACGCCCAGTTCCCCTCTGAAGCTCACAGGCAGTGCGGGCTGGGAAACATGTCAACTTCAGACACACCTCACCAACTTTCCTGCTACTTGCACTGCCTCTGCTCCCCGTTAACCTCGTGACTTCTCACTCACCCGGTAGAGGAAATTCCTGAATTAAATGGAAAGTTAGGCCATTTCTAACGTGATTTTTTGCTCAGTGGTGATGGTGGTTTGGAGGAGGGGGCCATATCCGGTACTGCACTGGGGCCACCCTTGGCTCTAGGCTGTGGGGTCACTCCTGGAAGCACTCGGGGCCATATTCACTGCAGGATTCAAACCGGTGTTGGGGGTGTAGTCCTAGCTATGTACGAAAAAGCTGCGAGTTCAGTGCTGCTGCCTGTGGCTTAGTGCGGGCCAACAGCTCCCTCTATCAGTCAATCTGCCCAACACATTTTCTCCAAGAAGCCAAATGAAAACTCTGGGGAAAGCCAGGAAGGGGGAATCAATGACTCCTAAAATGAAGACTCCCTGCACTCACAGCAGTTAACGTCTCCTCAAAACCCAAGTCAGACTGGAGAAGGGGGGCTTAGGGCTCTGGGAAGTCCCCCCGAGAATCTGCCAGCAGGCCTATCTATGCCGACTTCTCTTTTCCAACTACTGAACATGAGGCTGATTTGCTGTTTTTTTTTTTTTCGCTCCATCTGGAGGTGCTCAGAGGCGACTCCTGGCTCAGTGCTTGGGATCGCTCCTGGCAGACACAGGGGACCATGCACGCCAAGGGTGGGGCTTCTCATGTCTGTGCCCCAGCAGAGTCCACTCTCCTGCCTTCACCTTTCTTCCTCTGCTCGGTCCCTCAGTAAACGGAACAGGTGCAGCATTCTGAGCATGCTACAAAGCCAGATATGAAGGGACTTTGCACAGTGTCACTCTTCTCTATATCTCTTCATTTTCGTTTAGAAGTCATTTTCATAAAAATATTACTAGGGCTGGAGAAGTACAGGTTAAAGTGCCTGTCTTGTATGCAACTGACCCCAGTTCAATCTGGGCACTGCATATGGTCTCCTGAGAAACACCAGGAGTGATCCCTGAGCACTTGAGCAGGAGTAAGACCTGAGCATCACTGCGTGTGCCCCCAAAACTAAAGAGAGTGCTATTTCTGCTAACGTGTTTTGGGTTTATTTATGCTATTTGAAAATGAACTTAAAATAACTGGGCTAGAGAGACAGTACAGCAGGAAAGGTATTAAAGGTACTAAAGGCATGTAAGGATGTCTTACATCCAGTAAACCCGAGTTCAATACCATGGGCCCAATAGGGGATTGGGTCCAGGATTGATCTCTGAGCACAGAGCTAGGAGTAAGCCCTAAGCACTGCCACGTATAGCCCTCTCCACCCCCACCAAGAAAAGGTTCTGGGCCCAAGCTGGAGTGTACGCTTTGCATGTAGGAAGCCTATCTCTGATCCCTGAGGCACCACATGGTGTGGCCCCAAAACAAAACAAATTTTCCCAATGTTGCCTCTGGATTATGCCTAACAGTGTGCAGGGCCCCCCTATGTGGTGCCAAGGAACAGAACCAGCGCATGCAAAGCCAGGGCCTTCACTCCCGGTACTTTGTCTGACCCAACAGTTCTTTTTCCTATTACCTATTTATAAGAATAGCTGCAGGAAGTCTCGGGATCACCCCAGAGGAACCGCTCGCTGTCCAGAACCAGGAGGTGGTGTGGGCTCGCGGGCAGGGGAGTTCTGTTGCCTCGCAGACAGAATGCTCCACGGCGGGCTCTGTCCAGCCCGACTGCAGGATGAACACAGACATTCAAAAGGAGCTCTCCTTACTGTGGGGAGCGGGGTAGAGAACACCCAGCAATGCTCAGGGCTTTCCCCCTCGATACTCAGGGGTTACTCTTGGCAGGGCTTGGGGGACCTTATGGGGTGCTGGGGACTGAACCACGGTTGGCTTTGTTAAGGCAAGCACCCTCCCGCTACCAGTGCTCAGATCCGGAGTCGGTAGTGCTTCCCAAAATAGCCCAACGGGACTCACTCCAGTAAAAGGACATGGCCGCAAACTGGAAGCAAAGGTCAGGGGATGAGTGTCACTCGAGGAAGCATGCTCACCCACCAGCCGGGCACTCCCCAGCCCCATCCTCTGCAGCGGTCATGCCCCGAATCCTTCCCTTCATTCAAGAATTGTTTTTTTTTTTTACTTTTCCCACTCTGGAGAAGCCTGTGTTCTCTCTCGAACACGTAACTTTCTCTGTTCTCACATCAAAGTAAATTTCTTCCAATAAAAACCATTTGGGGGGCTGGAGCAATAGCACAGCAGGTAGGGCGTCTGCCTTGCACACGGCCGACCCGGGTTCGATTCCCAGCATCCCATATGGTCCCCTAAGCACTGCCAGGGATAATTCCTGAGTGCAGAGCCAGGAGTAACCCCTGTGTATCGCCAGCTGTGACCCAACAAGCAAAAAAAAAAACCATTTAGTTTGAATCTCAAAATGGATTAGCACCCTACAGAGATGTCTCCGGACCCCAACCATTTACAATTTTAGAATCCAGAAGCGCAGGGCAGCCACTTTTGTGGCCACATCACTTCTCATTATATTCATAATAAGCAATAGTAAATAATCTAGCATCTGCCCCTGACAGGTAGGCTTGAATGGAGGTGGGAAAATTCAAAATAATGGTCGTGGCACTGGTGTTGAAATACTGAATGCAATCAATGTGAAGCTTATGAAGATAAAATTTTTTTAAAAAAAAGAACATTTGGCTTATTTGGCTTTGGGGCTGGAGCAATAGGAGTGGGTAACAACTTGCCTTGCACACTGCCAACCTGGGTTTGATCCCTAGTCTTCCTGATCCACCGGAGTGATCCTTGAGTCCTGAGCCAGGATTAAGTCCTTAGCACCACTGTGTGTACCCCAAACACAAAAAACTATTTTGCTTCATTGAAAAAAATAATTTTTATTTAGGCACTGAGATTTCCAGTCTTGCTAGTGGCAGGGTTTCATATGTGGTCTAGAAAGAAGACAGTAAAGAAACATACCCAAAGGCAACAGAAACTGAGAACAAACCTGATGCTGATTTTCCCTAAATGACAAGGGCTAGCAGGCTGGAGATAGGGGTCAGAGAGATAGTACAGTGGGTAGGGCCTTGCCTTGCACACGTCTGACCTGCGTTCGATCCCGGGCATCCCATATGATTCCCCAAGCACTGCCAGGAGGAAGCCCTGAGCATCACTGGGTGTGACCTCCCTCCAAAAAAGAGCTGAAGATGGATATCACAGAGGTTGAGGCACTTGCCCTGCATTCAGTCCCCAGCACCACAGGGCGCCGAGTACCACAGGAGCGATCTCAGCTCTGCTGCTATGGCCCTGGGTCCCCAGCACACCCCCGTGTCCCAATACCGACCAAACAGCATGGTCGGCTAAGTATCACTGGAATTGGCACCCTGGTCCCAGCAGAACCTGGGAGCCCACCTAATTAAAAAAAGGGGGCTGAGGGGGAGTGGCCAAAGCAATACAGCAGATAGGATGATTGCTCTGCACGCAGCCAACCCGGGCTCGATCCCCGGCATTCCATTGGGTCCCCCAAGCAGCGCCAGGAGTAATTCCTGAGTGCAGAGCCGGGAGTAACCCCTGAACATCGCCAGGTATGACCCCAAAAAGAGAAAAAAATAAGTAAAAGCCCAAGGACCATGGCAGGTTTTGAACCCAGAAGTGTGTGGCTGCGAAGCCTGGACAGTGTCTTCTGCCTACTGTGACATGACAGCCCCAAAGCCAGAGGACAGCCTGGAGGCTTGAGATGCATCCTTAAGAGAAAAATCCATTTCCTCTCCAGAGCAGTCACAGGGAGAAACAAGCGCAAACTGAATACGAGCGGTCATGGCGGGGGCTGGTCAAGATGTTCACAGCACGCTCGGGACTGGCCCACTCGAGCCTGGCACTGCCCAGCGCCTGCAGCCGCGTTCCCGTCACCCGGAGAAAGTGGAAGCTCAGAGCCATGCTCTCAGATGCAACTGGCCTGTCCAGGCTCCACATGTGACGATGTCTCGCTCATCAACTGACACGGAGGCTTCGAGTGGATTCTCCTGTTCCACGCACGTCACCTCTCGGGAGACGCCAACGGTGCCGAGCATGAGGGTGAAAGCCGAGACACACGGAGAGCCAGTGGGCTTCACTACTTGGCCCACGCTGCTGGCAGGTTAAGCGTCACAGTCGTCACACGCTCCGCAGCCACCAGCGCCAACAGAAGTGGCAGAAGCAGTACAAGAAAGCCCCTTCGGCACAGCCCTTGCAGGCCACGCCGTTCGGCACTCCCCACGCAGAGGAATCTGTGCTGGAGAAAGTGGGAACTGAGGTCAAAGAGCCAAACTCTGCTAAGAGGAATCGCATCCAAGTTCAGCTGATCAGAAGCAGCAGAAAGTCACAGCCTTCGTCCCCAGTGGGGCTGCTAAACTTGACTAAGAAAACTGATGAAATTCTGGTTGCTGGATTTAGTTGCAAAGGTGACATGCCCAGAGTTCCATTAAGGTTGTTAAAGGAGCTTAAGTCTCTCTTTTGGCCTTATACGACGGTAAAAAAGAGCAAGATCCTAAGTTCTGACGATGACGACACAGTAAATTTTCTTACACCCCCACCCCCTCACTGCCAAAAGAAAGTGAGGAATACAGCCGAGAAGGCACTTGCCTTACATGTGGCTTACCTGGCTTTAATACCTGGCACGGCATACAGTGCCCCAAGCATTGCCCGGAGTGATTCCTGAGCAAAGTCAGGTGTGGTGCAAAATATAGTAGAAAATGGCTGATCACTGATGGACTGGGGTCTGATTCAAATCCTGGCTCCATCCCTTCTGTTCCCAGGAATAAATCTCAGGTTTTGTCTAAGGATGACTAAGCTCATTTTTTCCCATTTTTTTAAATAGCTCTTTTCCTTAATGGGCTCAAATGGAAGAAACTCTGCTCTCAGAGACACTCCTGGGGGAGCAGGGGATCCTATGGGGGACTGGAAACTGAGCTCAGCTCAGCCCCGTGCCAGGCCATGGGCACCCACTATACAATCCGGACCCAACATGGAAATAACCCTCAATCGACCTTTATAAAGAAACTCCAAAGTTTACCTGGCTTTGTGGCGAGAGAGCAACAAAGGGTCCAGCGCGCTGTATTTTCCGTTACAGGTTATAGATCATCAAGGCCAAAGAGGAGGCTCGGGGATTGAGCCGTAAGTAGAAGCTGGACGCGGAGTCCACTCGGGGCCTGAGGTATCGCAGTTGTGAGGATGCTGGTCTCTGGTGAGGTGATGGAGGGGAGGAGGCCGGTCTGCGCACAGCCACAAGGCCTGAGAGATGCAGGACAGGTGAGGGGACCGAGCCCAAACCTGACCCCGGCACGAGGTCATGCTCCGCAGATCCAGCATGCTGAAGGCAGCCCCAGAAACCGGATGTGGGATGGCTATCAATCAAACGTGCAAATTCACATGGAGTCAGGAACATGCCCAGTTTTTATTCATTAAATCCACAAGAAGTATAAAAGATCAGATTATAGAGCCACGGGCCAGTAACAAAAGAGGGAGGAAGCACAAAGGCTCAGACACGGGAGGCCGCACGGCGGCCACGCTCACTCCTGCATTCTCGATCAGTTCTTCCTTGTATTTGCCTTTTTCTTTTCCAACCTGTCGCGACTTGGCTTTGCGTTCAAGAATTTTTTTCCGATCTTTGTCCAGTTTTAGCCGGGTGATGACCACCTACGAGGAACGAGGAGGGGCTCGACCAACCCGCACGCAGCACCCCTACCCCCCACCCCCAGCTGGGGTGTTGAGACAGTTCCTCAGGGAATGAACTACTATGTGAGTGAGAAAATCGCTACCGAAACGCTGCCGGCTACAGCATCTTCCTGGCTGGCAAACACATTATTTAAAAACAAAACCAACAAGCCCTTACTGCTGCTCACTGCTGGGCCATCCAGTGGATGGGACGGACAGTGAGGCTGGGCATCCCACCGGAAGGCCCCAGACTCTGGAGCAAAGATAAAATAGGAATAACTTCTCCTGCGGCTGGAGATAGCTCGGCGGGAAGGGCACTTGCCTTGCACACAGCTGGCCCCAGTGTGACCCCTAGTACCCCATAGGATTCCCCCAAGCCCTGTCAGGAGTGATCCCGGAACACAGAGCCAGGAGTAATCCCTGAGCACTGGATGTAGAACAAAACCCAAACCAAACCAAACAAAAAGGAAGAAAAGGCTTATTGCGGGGCCAAAGCAATAGTAGAGCAGGTAGGGCATTTTCTTTGCACCAACTAACCTGGGTTCGATCCCCGGCATCCCATATAGTTCCCCGAGCACCACCAGGAACCCCAGAGCATCGCCGGGTGTGACCCAAAAAAGAAAAAAAAGAAAAAAGAAAAGGCTTATCGCTTATCGCATTGAAGACGGAGGTTGCTCTCTGTTCCCTTGGCAGAGCAACATGTGGAAACTCCCACCCCAGCCCCGGCCCCGGCCTGCACACAGCCTTTGCCAGGATAAATCACAAGAATTGAATCCTGGATGCTACCATCAGAGCACTTTGTCAGTGGAGCCTGCGTGGGCCTCGGGCCCCAAGTGGTACCTTGCTGGGGTGAATGCCCACGTGGACGGTCGTGCCATTGGCCTTCTCCCGCTGCACCCGCTCGATGTAGATGACGTATTTCTTTCTGTACACCTGGACCACCTTTCCGATTTGCTGGCCTTTGTAGTGCCCTCGAACCACCTAAGGGCAAACCCCAGAGAGCCTGAGCCCCGTTCGAAACACACGAGCGTCAGCAGCAGATCACCAGAACCCGCAACTGAACAGAACAGCTTTCCGGACAAAAGCAGACTACTCCTGGAGTCAACTACCTCCGCGTGTGGATTCTGTCTAAGTTCCACAGAAAATTGCCAGCCTCAGTGCCTCCCTCCCCCTTTCTGCTTTGGGGCCATACTCAGGCACTGCTCAGGGACCACTCCCGGGGTGCTGGGGGACCATCGGCAGAGCCAGTGAGTGAGCTGGAGTTGGCCACATCCACAGCCTCTTAACTCCCCTATCTCCAGGCTAACCATTTTTTTTTCTTTAAGCTGAACAGTTTTCTATCTTCCAAAACTCACTTGGGCATATTTCTGTATACACATTATACCCCAATTAAAGAAGAAAAAAAGAACAAAATCTGGGGGCTAGAGAGAGAGCACTGGGTACCCTACAGCCTGACCCTGGCTCCAAGCCCGGCCCCACACATGCTGCCCAAGCACTGCCAGGGTGGCACCTGAGTGCCAGTATGGCCCCAAAACGGAACAATCACACCCCCCAACTGCTCTTTCCGTTCTTTCTGTTCCCTTCCTTCCACTCCAGCAGTACCTTCAACCTAAATCAGCCCCGACTCCCTAGATTTTCCTCCTCCAAACAGTCCCCAGTCTCAGAGCACCAAGCCTGAGACGAGACATTCCTGATGGAGGTTCCTGGTGTAAGGCTTTGGCCTGCCACCACTTCTCAGGAAAAGAGAAAAGAAAATACTGCCTACACCCTTAAGCCCACCTTCCTTAAAGCAGCAAAGAGAAAGTATCCCCAACTGTCCTAGAGGCTTCTAGTGGCCCCCAGGACCATTCCAGCGCTGTCCTAGGTGGTATGTGTGTGTGTTTGTGTGTGTGTGGGGGGGGGGGAGTACTGCCCACTTTAGAAACACTCCTCAGATGCTACACCAAATTGTTTAGTCTTATCGTGACATTCTCTAAACAGTGTCGGGAAGGATAGGTTTTGCCCCAGCCCCCGGGGAAATGTTTGGGGAGGGGCGGGGTTGCTCCCAGCACTGTGTTGGGGTGCCTGGGTGCACCACCCATAAAGCAAGCACCTGAACCTTAGTTCTATCTCTCCCACCCTGGACACATGGTGCTCGCTACAAGTGCAAAGAGACGTTCAAGCACACTGCATGGATGAGAGGCGGCCAGGCCTGCTGCTAAACAACGTCCAAAATGGACAGGAGGGTCCCCACAGCGGATGGGGGCGAAGACATCAACAGTGCCAGGCTGAGAGCACCATGGAGGGGAGGCTGGGGTCTGCACCACTGCTGGTATTGAGGAAGAGCTCTATTACACACCCCTACAAGGCATGAACTGGGGTCCTGCCTGAGTCCCTCCCCACCCTAAACTCCCATCAGAGGCCTGAGGGCTCAGCCCCTCCCTGCGCCACACTTTCCTAATCGGCTGCCTCTGACTGGCCCTCTCTGCTTTTCAGACCCACCCCCACCTCAGGTCCGGCCTTCAGCAAGTCAGTGACTCCAAAATCTAACTTCTGAGACAGGACGTCTTAAAACTTAAAAAGAAAAGGTGCACCCTGAGAAATGCCCCGTGAGCTAGCAGCAAGGGTGGCGCAGTGGCGGGGCGTGCTCAGCGGTCAGGAGCTGAGACCCACAGGGGTGCCCCACCCGGAATAACCTAACCGCTCCTCTGCTAAGAAGCAGCCCAGGCCGGGAATGCTTCCTTTCTGTGGGGGAAGAGGAGGAGTTTGAGCCATCCAGGAGGTGCTTGGGAGCGGGTGAGATCAAGGATACAGCTGGGGTTGGCCACCCGCAAAGCAAGTGCCTTGACTGGTGCTGTGTCTCTCTGATCCCTGGAATGCTACTTCGACGGTCTTACCAAGAGCCCTAGAAAGACAGCGCAACTAGGGTGCGGGCCTGCTCAGCACGCAGCCAACTGGGTTTTGATCCCTGGTATCCTGAGCATCGTGGGGAGCAATTCTGGAGCACAGAGCCACGTGTGGCCCCCTAACAAAAAAACTCGTTAAAGACTTCAACTGAGGCCCAGGGTCGTGGCGCAGTGGCCGAGCTCTCTTGCCTTATATTGGTAAAACCCTGGATTCGGTTCCCAGCACTGCATCCAAGCACCCCAAAAGGCGACTCCTGGGCATCAAGCCAGTAGTCCTGCGCATCGCTGTGTGGCCCCCAACCCAAATACAGGTGCATATCAACATTAAAAAAAACAAAAAACAAAAGGGCAACTGAAATGCGCCGCGCTAGGTCCCTGGGGGCTCTGGGCACCCTCGACTCGGCCCAGGCGCGTCCCGAGGGTGGGGGGCGAGCGAGCCCACGCCTCCCCCGCGTGCAAGCAGCCTCGCGGCCGGCGCTCGGGGCGGGCGACGGACCTGGACCTCGTCGTCCTTGCGGATGGGCATGGAGCGCACGGTGTGCTTCTGCCGCAGCTCCTTGGACAGCGGCGACGACGTGATCTTCCGGCGCACGTGCGAGGGGGCGTGGAAGTGGCGTTTGCGGTTCTTGCTGCGGTCCGAGGTGACGAACGGGTTCAGCTTCATGGTGACGGTCTGCGGGAGGGCGGGGAGACGGGGACCGGGCGGGGGGCGCTGGGTGGCGGCCGGGGCCTCCTCTCGGGGCTCGTGCTCCCCGGGGGCGGGAGGCGAGGAGGCGGGGGCCCGGAGGAGGGCGGCGCGGGCTGCGGAAGCAGAGCACGCGGGGGGCACGCGGGGGGCACGCGGGGGACGGCGGGCGCCCAAGCGGGGGGAACACGCGGCCGCAGCACCGCCGAGCATCACTTACCTGGCGCGGCGCTGGCTCCGGAGTTGCGCGCGCAGGACCGGAAGCGAGGGCTCCGCGACGCGCGTGCGCAAAAAGCGAATTCCCCCCCCCCCCCCCCGCTCCGCCCTTTCCCCTGGGAACGAAGTTGCAGAGCGCCTCCCGCGGCTCGGGGTGGAATCGCAGCGCCTCGTTCTCCGCTCGGTGGGGTCTGGGAGTCCGCTGTGCCTCGGTTTCCCGGGGCCCAGCCTGGACCCGCTGGGGGAGAGGAGGAGGGAGAGGCATGCCGGTGTGTGTGTGTGGGGGGGTGGGGAGGAAGCAGAGGACTTTGGGAGGAACTTGCCCCAGAAGCCGGCTTCTACTTGTCCTTCTCGGGGAAATCCGGAGGAGGCAAACTAAATTTTGCAGTTTTCTGTGTTTTGCAGTAAACACGTGCACTCGCCACTGAGCTCGGGTTGCAAGACCTGTCGGCTGAGATTTTTTAGGAAAACGGTCCAGAGCGGAGTTTCCAAGCCCGGCCCGCCCAGGTCCTGGAGCAGACACTTACCCCGCCCCTCCCCACCCCCCCCACCCCCATTCTCGAATGAAGTGGTTCGTTCATTCCATTTATTTCTCCACTTCCCTGCTCACTCACCCACTCCTCTGAGCCATCACTCACTCAGGACACAGTTCTTCGCCTACTCCTTCGACCTCACACTCATCCTCTTGCTTTGTAGTCTTCCTTGCAGAGCATACCTCATGTTACTGGGCTTCACAGATACTGCGGGGATCCCCGAGCAGTGCTCAGAGACTGCTTTGGGGTCCATCCCCGATGGTGCTCAGGGGCTATTCCTGGCCAGGGGGATTACTTGCAGTGATACCTGGTTCTCTGATTCCAGAGAACCTCAGGGATCAAACTTAGGGCCTCACACATCCAAGTCCCCTCCCACCAAGACATCTTCCCAACCCCAGAGAGTGTTTTGATTTTTTAAAATTTTATTATTTACTTGGTTTGGGTGCCACACCCAGCAGTGCTCAGGGCTTATTACAGACTCTGCAAGGCAAACACCCTGCTTGCTGTACTATCTCTCTGGTCACAGTTTTATGGCACTGAGGCAAAGGATGATGTGGTAGAGGAAGGAACTGAACCCAGGATTCTGACTGCCTGGGATTGCATGTGTGAGCCTTCACAGTTCTGTGGCTTTTGATAAGTGGTTAAGCCTCTTGGCTACTCACTTTCCTCATCAGAGAAATGGGAATAAAAAGCACTGCCCTCATAGTTGGACCTCAGGATGCCACGTACCCTCAGCACAATGCCTGGCTAATGAGTGCTTGGTGGGTAGCAGAGACAATTCTTCAGTGAATGACTGGGGAACGGCTCCTCTGAGGCGGCTGGACGTTCACAGGCAGTGTGCTGTCCGCACAGCAAACATTCCCTTGGAAAATCTGGCCAACAGTGCTCCAGTCTGCCCCTTTTCCAGGTGAAAATACAAGTTTCAGAGACAGGAGCAGGGTGACACGGGAGCCACCGTCAGGGACCCGATATGTTCCCCAGTGCCATTAACGAGCAAAGGGGCCTCTGAAGTAAGGAAAAGGCACACGACAAAACCATCCCCAGGGAGACTGAGTGGGGAGCAGAATGCAGCAGCGACCGGTGTCATTCCTAAGGCTGAGCCCCCCAAGCCGGGCTGTGTCAAAAACCAGCATAACGTTACTTCAATGAAGTTGTGGTGTTTTATTTATTTTTTGGGGGGGGATCACACCCAGTGGCGCTCAGGCCTTACTCCTGGCTCCACACTCAGGGATCACTTCCGGTGGGGCTCGGGTGATGGATACCAGGGATTGAAACCAGGCCAGCGAGGCCAAATGCTCTACCTGCTGTACAATTTATTGCTCAGGAACCTAGTTTTGTTTGGTTGGTTGGTTTGGGGACCACACCCAGGGATGCTCAGAACTTACTCCTTGTTCTACACTCAAGAATTACTCCTGAAATAAAAAAAGAAAAAAAGAAAAGAATTGCTCCTGACTGTGATCAGTGGGTCATAGGGGAAGTCACGAATCAAACCCAATATTCCTCCTTCTTTTGGATACGGAGAGTCAATTTTCCTTATGACACAACCAAGACGGTCTTGGGACCCGAGGTTAACCTCCACCCAGTTCTCAGTCAGGCTCTGAATTCCAACATCCCCACCTGCCATCTGTTTTACTAAATCCCAGCTATCCCCCGACTCAAGGAGGTCACACCCACAAGAGATTAAGCACACCAGTCACCAAAAGAGTGCTGGACTTGGCTGGCATGTGGAGAATGCCCAGGCGTTACGGCAAGAGTTAAGAGGAAGCTATTTTGTGTTGGTCAGAATGAAGTGCATGAGCTCATCGCAACCAAAACGACAGCGGACAACTGCGGGGAAGGGCGGGGTCCTCACAGCCCCACCCTGAAGCTGGGCCAAGCCGCTTTCTTCCGGGAAAACTGGATTCAGAAGGAATTCAGGGTCCGGATAGCACAGTGAGGAGGGCGCCTGCCTCCCACGTGTCCTTGGCACCCGTAGGGTCCCCTCTGGTGCTGCAGACTTGACCCAGTGGTGCCTGAGAAATGGCTCAGAGCAAGCTTTGCACGTGGGAACCCACTTAGATGAGTTCCAAGCTCCATATGGTCCCAAAGCACCACCCGGTATGAACCCCAAAACCAACAAAGCCACAAAAATGGCACCTAAGTACCTTCAGCATTTGGTATCCATTTATTTATCTACTGGAGGGTCCGGGACTCCCCTGGCAGTGCCCAGTAGCTAGTTCTGGCTGTTCTCAGGAGTGGCCCCTAGTGGGGCACGGTGGGAGAGCAAGACAAGCAAGCACCTTCACCCCCCCCCCCCATTAGGCTGTTAGGCAGCCAGTTAAAATACCATCCCCCACCTTTGAATCATTTAGCACGGCTGCCTAGGCCAGAGCAACAGTACAGTGGAAAGTGTGTCTGCCTCGTGTCGGCAGACCCGGGCCTGATCCCAGCACTACATATGGTTGCCCAAGTCGGGTGTGCCCTGCCATCACCACCAAAAGGGAACTGCCACTGGGCAGTTCCTTTTCCTTCCAGCCCATGTTTCTTTAATCAGGGTTAAGCACCGAGGCATTTCCCATGGGAAGGTGAGACAGCCTTCAAGGAGGGGGTGGGAACTCACCTTGACCAGGGCCTGGCTTCACTAGATGCTTCCACCTGTCAATCGGATCTTCGGGTCAGCCTAACCATACACTGCAGTTGACGTCGAACCGGAGGGTAGAGGTGAGGGGCTGGGTGGCTTCAAGGGTTGGTGCCCAAGTCAACGCCAATCCCTGTGCCACGTGGCCCCCGAAGCACTACCATGGTGGTCCTGGTGACCCCCCACCCCCGCATTCCCAGGCCAACTCACCACAGGCCCAGCACCACCAGGAGTAATTAGTGTAACTAATTACTAATTAGCGTAACTAATTAGAGGAATTAACAATCAAATTAGCTTCACAGGCACAGCTGGGGAGCTGGAGAGAGAGTCCGTCCCCCCCTCCACCAACACCAGCAGGGCTGGGGACACACTTAAATGACCGGGAGTCAAACGCTCCTCTGGCCACTCACTGTGTCAGGGAACCTCAAACGCCCGACGTTAGAGCGACACCACGCAGGCGAGTGCCCCTCGGGGAGGTGCCACCTCGGGTGCCCACGAAGCCTGAGCAGCCGGCAGAGGAATCAGGCACTGCCAAGCGCCTCCCCCTCCTCTGGAGGCTCCTACAGTCTCCCTGGGCAGGCCCGTGGTGAACGAGGACCTGCTTGGAGGAGTCACCCCGCACCCGTTTCCCCGGATGCCAATGCAGAGCTGGGAGCTCGCGTGTCTGTGCCAGCGGCCGCCCCACGGGGAGTGGAGGAGCAGAGAGGTGAGGCACAGCGGAGAAGGTGCTCGCCTGCTCGCAGAAGGCCTGGGTTCGATCTCCGGCACCACAAAGAGTCCCCTGAGCCCCGCCAGGAGTGGTCCCTGAGCACAGCCAGGAGCAGCCCCGAGCATGACTGTGTGTGCCCCCCACCCCCCCCAAAAAAAGCGTTTTGGTTACTGTTCCCCCTTTCCACCCTTAGAGAGCACTTGGAGATCAAGAACCAGGCCTGAGGCCTCTCAGCCGGCACGGGGCACATCTTGAACCTTCCAAGAAGTCTCCCCGACCTTTTTCTGTGTTCCCCGATTTCTCTCCTCCAGGCTGTAGTCCCAGCCATAGCATCGGGAGAAAGAAAAGAGGACCACGGCATTTCTGAAAATCAGCCTTTTAATCTATTTGAACCCAAACGAGTACGGAAAGAACAAAGACCATTTTCCCCACCCTTGAGAGCTTGTGTGTTGGGATGGTGGGGGGGGGGGGGGCGGAGGGGGGAAACTCTCTGACACAGGAAACTGATCCCCTATGGCCTCAGAGGTTTGTTTTTTTTTTTTAAAAAAAAAGCATCCAAGTGGAATTTGAAGTCCTGGACACGTGCCACACACACCCCGTCCCACCCTGCCCACCCACTCCAGGCGCACAGACTCACACCCCCAGGGACGGGGTGACAGAACCAATCTGTCCAAACGGCCGCACCCCCCCGAAAATAACCAGACGCAGTTGACAGTCACGTCATCAGCCCACTCAGGTGCAGGGGGAGCGTCCCGCACTGGAATGCAGAGCCAGACCTCGCTGCCCGGGCAAAAACCCTCCCAGGAGAAGCAGCCCCGCATTACAAAAGTATGCCAGCAATTCAGCCTGCCAGGCGCTCCCGGGCGGGCAGGCGGGGGGCATTGCTCACATTCCCTGGGTGGGGCTCACACTGGGCCCTCTGCAGGGGCGCAGGGGGCACGGAGAGGGACGGCCCCACCTGGGGCACTCACAGGCGCTCAGGGAGAGAAGTGGGCACCACTGGGTCGGCAGGGCAGGACGGGTCAGCTCTGCCTCCCCAGGGCCCTGGCGGTGGCGCTCTGGTCATGCCGGAGGAGGGCAGAGAAGGGGCTTCCGGCCCAGGACGGATGGGCCCGAATCACATCCGGCTCTCCATGGAGGGCCCCACCAGCCCCTCCACCAAAGCTGCTGGGGGCTGAGGCACATTGGTGGGAGGGGGCTGGGGACCCAGAGAAAAAAGGTCAAGTGAGAGAGGGATGCCCCCTCAACCTGCCCGGTGACCGGCGGGCAGACTTACGTCTCCCCCACTGCGGCCCAACAATTGGGCACCTGCTCCCGGGGAGGGCCGGAGACGGGAGGGTGGGCAGGGGGCCGGGGCGGGGCCGGGGGCCGGGGCGGCTCGGGCAGCCTGGCAAGTACCATCGTGGTCGAAGGTGCCGGCGAAGTACCTTAGGGAGCCTGGTCCAGAGCGGAAAAGCCTGGTCAATGGGGTGGCCAGGGCTGGAGAGACCAGGGGGTTCATGTGTCCAAACTTGGGGGGGAGGGGGGTTGCACGATTGTCAAAGCTGGGCCGAGAGCTGGTCCACGTGGATTCAGGGCTGGTCCTCCGCGAGGGAAGGGGCGAGGACAACCGTGCTCCGGGAGTGGTCCCCGGCGTCCCCGAGCCCCCGCTGCCTGTGCTAGCGGGCAACAGGACGGTGGGCCCCGTGATCGGCTGCATGGAACACGGGGATGGCAGCCCAGGGACCCTGAGCCGCGCTCCCCACGCCCGCGGGAGGCCGGCCCCGGCTCAGTGCATCTTGCCCAGCTGGATCTTCTTCCAGGCCTCGGAGGCGGTGAAGATGCAGGAGTCCAGGATGCCGGCCACCGTGAAGGTCCCGCCGATGATAGCACAGATCTGGGGGCGACAGGGGAGAGGTTAGCCGGCACCCGGTCACCTCGGGCAGGAGCCGCTGCCCTCTCCATGGGCGCTGCGGCCGGGCAGGGGACAGGAGACTCATCCCATGGGCGTGGGGCTCAGGCCCGGGCTGGAACCTGGTGCATGTGGCTGGAATCTCGAGGGGGGGTACTCTGACGCGGGGTCTGAAAAGGCCGCAGAGGACAAGGAAACAGCCCGGGGCAGGGGTGTGGTCTGGATGGACGAGAGCAGCACAGGAGCCCCTTGAGCACACAGGGGGACACCAGGGTCCAGCGTGGGGCCACCCCCTATGCCCAGGGTTCCACTGAGCAGCCTCTTTCTGGCAAGAGACCCCCAGGACCACCTCGGCCCACGCAGACACCCGCGACCGGCACTTGCTGGACAGATGGGTGGGGTCATCACCTGCACAAACCTCGAAGGGAGGGCCCGGTGTGACTCTCAGAGGGGCAGAACAGGCCGGGTGGAAGCACCCCCATGGCGCACACAGGCTGCCCCCAATCTCGCCTCCTTGCCAACAGCCGCCACGGGTCAGCACCCAGCCAGCAGCGTCCCCCAGGGACCCCACCCGGCAGGCGGCCCCTGTTCTACCTACTCGGGAGCCAGGAAAACAGGGCACAAAGAGGCAGGGGCATCTGCTCCCAGCACAGGCAGCCGAGAACTGGGGGGGGGGGGGGGAAGGTATCCCCCAACTCTGCCCGCCCCACCTGACTGTGCACAGTGGCCCTGCTCTTAGCAGGCGATGGGACTCCATGTCACGTGTTCGCAAATTTCTCTGGCCAAAGTCTGAGGGGTGGAGGGTGGGAGAGAAGGTTCTAGAAGATTCTAGAAGGTTCTAGAGGGAACCTGTTTATGGGACTGCCCCAGGAGGACCCTCAAGAGACAGGGATGAAGCTTGAGGCTCCTGCATCCAATGGGTGGGCGCTCTCTCTCTCTCTCTCTCTCTCTCTCTTTCTCTCTCTCTCTCTGCCTCCCTCCCTCCTTCCCTCCCGTCCCCCCAGCCCCTATGAGGGTCTTTTTCCTGTGAGGGGTTTTTAAAGGGATTTTCCCCCTGGAGCACCTACTGAGGTGCTTGGGTGCTGTTCATGAGAGCACTGGGATGACCCCAGGGGACCCCTGGCCATTCTGAAGTCCCCCATGGCCCCCAGGCCTGGGAGGGAGCCAGGAGCCAGAGGGCTGGCAAGGGACAGGGTGAGGGGACCAGTGTGCACTTCAAGATGAGATTTCCATGCCGTGAGCTCAGCGGGGCCGGCCAGGCAGAGACAGAGCAGGTCTGTCTGCAAGGTGAGAGGGGGCAGCTGCCTTCCAGCAATAACAGCCCGAAATCTGAGCCCCCCAAGGGAGGGGCTGGGGGCGCGGTGGGCGCAGTCAGGAAGTGTTTGCAGCCCGCCAGGCCCCCTGCCAGCCTGGAGCATGATGCAGGAGGCACTTTTCAAGGAAGATGACGGTGGGGAGCTGGTTTATTTCGGTCGAGTGGATCAGCTGATGGGAGAGACTTTATACCGCAAAGTGCTTTCAGGGCCTGGATCAGAGGACGGGAAAATGTGACTTAAGTGCAAATTCAGAGAAACACACTCTCTCTCTCTCTCTCTCTCTCTCTCTCTCTCTCTCTCCCCCGCCATATTCACCAAGGCTGCATCCGGAGTCCGCCTGCATGAGTCACACACACCTGGCGCCCACTCTGAAGCCCCTTCCACGGGCGCAGCACTGATGGACATGTGAGGAGGGGGATGACCAACGTCCTGGGAGCTGATGCTGAGCTGGTCCCCTGGGTGGGGGGCTCCTGTAGCCCCCAGCTGAAACCCCTCTGCCTCCTCAATGGCCCTGCCACATATGTGGGGTGAGAATTCTCAAAAGCAGCCAATTCCAGCGGCCTGCCCCTGGGGGAGAGGCAAATCTGAGGGCCGGGGGGTCCCTGGGGAGGTCACTGAGGACCCACCCACCACTCCAGCTCCCAGCCCTGGGCGCCCCCACCCCAGGCCACAGTGCGGGACACCGAGGACACGGAGGCAGGCGGGCAGACGGATGGACAAGTGGTCTGCGAGCTCAGGAGAGTGTGGCCGCGTCCCGGGCCCCTGGGCCGTGTGGAATCTGGAGATTTGCCTGCACCACGTGAGGAGGGGCCAGGCGAGGTCAGGGGTCAGCAGCTCCCCAGCCACGGGGCCGGGCCCAGGAGCCTGAGGGAGGAACACATGTGAGGAAAATGGAAGATGAAGCCGGGGCCAGCCAAGACTAGCCGGCACGGCCCCCTGGGCTCGATCCGGACACCCACAGGATGCCCCGAGTCTGCCAGGGTCCGAGAGATTGCTCAATGGTCCCTGAGCACCGCTGGGGGCGGACACCTCCTCAAAAGGATAAAGACAATGCTTGGCGTCATGGCTGGTCCATGGCGGGTGCCGAGCCGGGCTTTCCCGTGCAGAGACGCGGTGTCGCTGGGGAGGGGTTGGGGTGCTTGGGGTCTGCTCCTGGCTCTGTGCTCAGACACCTACCAGGCAATCGCCTTCACCCCTCTCAGAAGGGGGAAAGGATGACCAACCCCCACAGCCCTGGGTGGGACGGCTGAACCCCTCCTCGGCAGATCCACCACCCGCCCGCACCCTCCCTGCCCTGCAGGGAAGGGGTCACACACAAGCCCCCCCATCCTTGGGTCGGGGCTGGGTAGGGGGGCCATGGGCCTGGAGGAATCCTTCCGGGGATGAAGGCTCCGAGCCTCAGGTTCTCTGCTTGGAGGGTGGCCGCCCCCTCCACGGCCCAGAGGCCCCAGATGACCCTCCAGGCCGCCTGCCCGTACCCTAAGCGTCCCCGGCCTGCCTCTCCTTGTGCAGTCAGCGCGGCCTGGAAAGCTCCTGGGATGGGCCCCATTTGCGGAAAGAAGTAACGACCCGATGGCAGCGGAGGCCGGCGGCGGCAGACAGGCTGGAGCCAAGGATGAGAACACCCGCGCCGGCCGCCAGCCCCGCCTGCTGCACCCACAAAGGCCCCCTTCTCCGATGCGGGAGGCGTGGGGGGACGCCCTAGAAAGGCTGGGGCGTGGGGGACGCCACCAGGTGGGGCCAGTTCCATCCGCACCCCCTGCCTCTCTTCCTCCCGCAGGGGGCCTGGAGTCCCCCCTCCCCTCTGCCTGCTCTTTTGACAACTGCAGCCCCCTGACACCCACCTGAGCTGAGCCCTGCTGAGTACCGGCTTGTCCCGAACCCTGCCGAGCGCACAGGTGGGGACATGGAGGCTCAGGGAGGAAATGAGCTGCTGGGTCCCCCAGCCCCGAGCGGGAGAGGGTGACAGACGGCGCCGAGACCTGGGCAAGCGTGCGTGTGTGTATGCGGAGCTGGAGCAGCGAGGGTCCTCGTGCCCCCAGCCCAGTCCTGTGCACATGGACTTCACATCTGGCGTCCTGGGCGCCGGGCAGTTCCCCAGCCCCCATGGGACTGCGTGGTTTGGGGCTGGCAGGCGCCTGCCAGCTCCCACCCGGAGTGATTCCTGGGCATGGCACCCGAGTACGCCCTGAGCACTGCGAGTGGCCTGCAAACCAGCCAAGTCACCAAAGTGATGATCCGAAACGGATGCTTGGGCCCAGCCTTGGTCTCCCCGGGAGCTCCGCAGTCCTGGCCGGCTGTGGGGGACAGGCAGGTAACTCTGTCATCAGCGCCAGGCCCCTGACCCTCTACCCTCTGGGGCCAACAGCCACAACCAGGGGCCCATGGCGGGGGCAGTTGGGGGGTTGACCTGGCTCCCGCTGTCCAGCGGGTACAGGTCACTCCTCCCCAGCTGCTGCCCTGGGGGTGGGCAGGAAGGTCACGGCCATCCCAAGGGAGGCAGGGGTGCCTGTGGGGCCGTCCGATCTGTCACTGGCACCCGTCGGCAGAGGGGGCCCAGGGGCAGGTGGCGGGGGGGTCCTTTGCGTGGTGTCCATACCACCTGTCTAAGGAGGGCCTGGGGTGTTTCTGTGAGAGCCTGAGAGGCCCCCTGCCTCTGCCCCCCTCCTCACCCCTGCCCACAGCTGCCCCAGGCCCGTGCCCAGCCCGCGCCCCCGAGGAATATTTGCAGGCGGGACGCCGGGGCTGGCACACAAGTGCTGCCGGCTGCAGAGTGAGAAAGAGGGGCCGTGGCAGGTGTGCCCTGCCGGGACGTGTGCGTGCAGGAGTGTCCGGACCACCCACCTCTGCCTCCTCGCTCCCCAGGGGCCCCCTGACGCTCACCATGACGCCATCTGCCAGGGACAGCTGGTAGGCTCGGGGAGGGGGGGCGGCCCCCAGTTGCTGTGGTGCTGGGGTCTCCAGAAAACATACAATGACGTGTCCCCACCATGAGGCCTGGCCAGGGTAGGGGGACGCAGAGGGGACGAGAGGCTGGGGCCACCCTGGACACGTGGGGTGGGAGAAAGGCCGGGACAGGGTACGGGGCCGCGTCCATACCCTTCGCCTGGAGCCTCCTCTTCCTCACATTCTAGAGAATGACCCTGGGGACCCTCAGGAAGGGAGATGAGGTGCCTGGGCACCCACTGGCTCAGAGACTGTCTCCCACGTATGTAGTGACTGGCTACGGACTGAGCCCGCACCTGGGGCCCGAGAGCCCCCTGCAGAGCCCCCAGCAGCACCCAGTATCCCCTGGGAAAGGACAGCGCCCATTCCCCGCCCTCACTGCTCTGGGGGCTGCTCGCCCTCACTGTGCCGAGGAGGGAAGCCGGGACCCACAGCCCTGAGCCGGCCCGGGCCCAGCCCCCCTCTCCGGTCACCAAGTCCCCTCGCACGGCGCTTCTCGTGACCACACCCTTGCACGCGCCTGTCCTGGAGACGCTGTCCGCGCCCATGTGCTGGGCACTGGCCTTGGTGACAGATAAAGATGATAGAACCTTCTACCTATCGTTCGTAGAAGGCAAGGGGGAGGCAGTTTGGGCCCCTCCGGGCTTCGTTCGGGGCACTGTGCAGCGGCCAGGGCGGGAACGCAGGTCCCGGGGAAGCACAGCTGCGCGGTGCCAGGGCTGGAACCGGGCTCCCGGGGAAACAGCTGTGCTCCAGCAGCCATCAATCAATCAACCTGGCCCCAGGCTTTTGCTTTTTTGGTTTTGTTTTGGGGGCCATATCAGGCGATGCTCGGGGCTGACTCCTGGCACTGCCCGCCTGCTACAGTATCTCTCTGGACTGACTCTCCCTCCCCCCGAGACCTTCCCAGACTCCGAGCAGGAGAAAACACTCGTGAGATGCTGGGCGTGGGAGAAAACTGCCCTCACGGGAATACTGCCCCCACATGGCCATAGACAGTGGCCAGAGAGGAGAGAGGACAGGAAGGGCAGAAAGGAGATACCCAGTGGGGTGGCCAGGGTGGGAAGACAAATGAGATCTTCAGTTCCCAGAGCAAAGGAGGGTCCTGGGGGCCGGAAAGGGGGCCCAGGGGTCAGGCGGCTCGCCCGGCACTTAGGACACCTGGTGCCATCCCCAGGAGCACGCAGGGTCCCCCCGAGACACCAGGCTCACTCCACCAGAGCCAGGAAAAGCCAGAGGACGGCAGGGTGCGGCCCAGCCCCTGCCCCCCAAACCAACACCCTACAAGCAACCAAACCTGGGCCCAAGCCACAGCACAACGGGGAGGGCATTGGCCCTGCACGGGATCGAGCTGGGATTGATCCCTGGCACCCCATAATAGGTCCCCCGAGCACTGCCAGGAGGAATTCCTGAGTGCACTGCGGGAGTGGCCCCCACACAAAAAATGACCAAAACCCCAACGGAATCAGAAGAGAAACTGCCGCAGACGAAGCCCCCGAGAGGCCCTTAGGGGGAGCTTCCGGCCACTGCCCCGCCCGCCACTCACCGTGGTGATGAACCGGTACAGCGGCTGCCGTCTCTCCGTGTACTTGACCGTGATGGGGCTGAGGTCGTAGCGGAACCAGATGGCCGGGATGATGCGGCCCGTGTGGCTGTAGGCGACGTACTCCTGGGGCAGAGGGGAGGGCTGAGCGGGCGGAGGACCACAGCCAGGCCCTTCAGCCCGACCCGGCCTCCCGACAGTGCATGGACAGTGCACGGGGCTTGGAGAGTGGATGGGGGACGGGGCAAGGGCACATGGGGGGGTTGCACGCCCAGCAGTGCTCGGGGCTTACTCCTGGCTCTGTACTCAGGGATCACGCCCAGTGGGCTTGGGACAAACCCTAGTCAGCCGCGTGCGGGGGAGTGCTCCCTGCTGGATGCTAGCACTGGCAACTCTTCTCTGTTTGCTCCTCTCATCCGCTTGTGTCTGGGGGCCGTAGGAGCTCAGGGATCACTCCTGCCGGTGCTTAGGGATTAAACCCAGGCAAACCAGGTACAGTGTCTTATCTGCTGCATTAGCTCCCTGGTGCTCATTCTTCTCTTACTTATTTTTGGGGTTTGGGGCTTCCTCCTGGCTCTGTGCTCAGGAACCGCTGCTGGCAGTGCTCCGTGAACCATATGGGATGCCCGGGATCTAGTCCAGGTCAGCCATGAGCAGGCAAGTGCCCTTCCCACTGGACTATGGCTCCGGCCTCTCTTCTATCTCGTTCACAGCGGGCGGGGACTGGGAACACACCCTTGGTGCCTGCGGATCAAGCCTGGGCTGCCTCGGGCAAGGCAAGCGCCCCACCCGCTGTCCTGTCTCTCTCAGGCCCACATACTTGACTCTTCTGGCTGCCGGGAAACTGACCACCAGAATCAGGAGTTTAGGAGCAGAGCTGTGAGGGTGTGTGTGTGCGTGTGTGGGTGTGTGGGTGTGTGGGTGTGTGCATGTGTGTGCATGTGTGCGCACGTGTGTGTGAATGTGTTTGCGTGTGTGCGTGTGTGTGTATGCGTATGTGTGTGTGTGCGCGCGCGTGCATGTGTGCGGCCACGCCAGTGACTGGGGCAAGATGCTCATGTCCAGAGGTCAGAGGCAGAGACACCAGTGAGCCCCAAGGCGTGCTGTGTGGGGCGGCAGCTCTGCTCTTTCTCCCACACCTCACAGCCCATTCCCCTACTCCTGACCCTGACAACCACCTGGACTGGGCTGAGGGCAGGGCTGGCTAGAACCGCCCCAACTCCCACCCGCAAGGTGCCCCAGTGCTGCAGGCCTGCCTGCAGTGCCCGGGCTCTGCCAGCAGAGGGCACCTGCGCCCGCGGCGGGCGGTACCTTATTGGCCACAGTGTACTGGTAGGAGAAGCGCTGGCGGCCGCTCATGTCCTCGTACACGGTGGGCACGATCTTCAGGATGTAGTCGTGGGAGGCGAGGGCTGTGGGGAGGACACGGCACGCTGAGGCAGGGCCCCCAGCAGCTCTCACCTCCACCCGGCCGCGGCTCCTTCCCCACACCCTTGGCACAGGAGTAAAGACCAACACACACACACACACACACACTCCTCTCTCACACACGCACACACAAGTCAGAACACACACACACACACACACGATAAGTCAGAATTTTCTGGAAAGACACCCAAGGACCCATGAGCAGCCTTCACTTCTAGGGAGGGAGGCAGGGCTGGCCAGCGCACACCAGCCGTGGGAGCAAAGTGGGATTCAGCTTGAATCCCTGGGGGCCAGGGACAGAGGGAAGGTGCCGCCTTGCACAGTAGACCTGGGTTGGATCCCCGGCACCCCACGGGGTACCCCAAGTCCTGCCAGGAGTGATCCCAGAGCACCGCCAGGTGCGACCCAAAGGCTGGAGACAGCTGTCCATCTGCGTGGTCCCTGAGGGGGCCCACGGCTGCTCCTGCCACCCCCCCCCCCCCCATGGGCAGGCGTTACTCATCCCCATGTCCCAGAAACCTTCACAGAGCGGACGGGGCGAAGGCTGATGCACGAAGGAGTGGGCCAGGGAGTGATGGGTCCGAGGCAGGAATGACAGGACTGATGAATCAGCTTCCAGTAAGCATGAGACCGGAAGCCCCCCAGAAGCGGGTGGGCCCCCACCCCCGAGAGCTGGGCGAACCTCCCCAGGGCCTCGGGGAGCAGAGAGTAGCCGGACAGCCAGCACCGGGGGTCAGAATCCTGGTGCCCCCTGGCCAAGCCGGTTCCGCATCCTGGAAGGGGTTTCTAAGAGGGCAGGCAGGGGTCAGGGGTCGGGGGGGCACGCAGCCCCCGCCTGCTGTCCCTTCCTGAGCGGCGAGCCCAGCTCTGCTGAAAACCTGGGCAAGCCTGCGGCCACAGGGCCAAACGAGGTCCCTCCCAACAAGCCACTGACCCCACCCCACATGGGAAGTGCTGGGGTCGCAGGGTTGGTCTAGACCGGGGAGCCCCAAGGCGCCGTGAGCACCACTGACATCTGCTCCCCCAGGCCCTTTGCTCATGACGCCTCAAGTCTGGCAGCCTCAGAGAGCTAAACGTGGATGAGGAGCGGCTTTTTATTTTTATTTGGGAAGGGGGTAAATCTGGGTTGGGGGGGGCGGGGTGTGGGGAGGCAGAGGTTGAAGCAGGCAGCCCAGTGGTCACACCTGACTGCGGCACCAATGCCCACCCTGTTCACTCCCAAGAACTCATGCGTGACCTGTCAAATCGGCAACAGAAGACAAGGACAGCAGGGTACACCGAGCAAAGACTGTGCAGAGCAACCCCGGCCAGGGGACTCTGGGGCTCAGTGTCCACCTGCCCCACCATCCAGGAGGGCGGGGGCGGGGCAGGAAAGCCCAGGGACTGGACTTCAATCAGGAGCAAGGCAGACACCAGACACCAGCCGGGCTCCCTGGGGACAGGGCAGAGGGGCGTTCGGGCTGCGGGCAGGCTACATACGGTTGGAGGCGAGGCGGTCCGCTCCCCCAAGGGCATTGAAGGCCCCGTGGACATTCTGGACCTGCAAGACGCAAGGCGGGGACAGGCTGCAGGGCGGGGAGCCGGCCTCAGGAGTGTCCGGCTGCCACCAGGCCGGGAAGCAGGAGGCAGAGGCAGACAAGACTCAGGCAGGCGAGGGCATCTCCCTTCGAGGTCTCGAGGTCGTCCCACCCAGAGCCCAAAGGGCCACAGACAGCGGGTGAGCCAGACTGGCCCCAGGTGGGGCCGAGCCTGGCCCATCCCACACAGGTTCAAGTATGGTCCTGGGGCTCTGCTCATCCTGAGAAACCCCCAAACCAGTGGGGGGCTGGGGACACTAGCCCCAGCTTCGGGGGACTGGGGGAGACAGGCATCAGGGTCCAGGGGTAGAATGTCCAGAAGAGAGCCCCGGACAGCACATTCGTGACAAGGACCGGAGCACTCACCACAATGGCCGGTGAGTGGGGTGCGGAGCTGAGGGGTCACACATGTCTTCCCTGAACGAGCCCACACCTGTGACCCTAGGCCCCCATCCTCCCCAGTCACCCGTGGCCCTCAGCCCTGCGGGAGGGAAGGGGAGCTGCCCCCCCGACCAATACCCCCAGGGCTGTGTGGGAGGTGGCAGGAGACACCCACCTGCAGCGTGTCCCCAAAGGAGAGCTTGTGGATGACGTGGGTCATGTCCGGGTTCTGGGGCTGGGCCGTGGCACTGTGCGTGGACACGTGGAAGTTGCCGGGGACCTGAGGGTAGTGGAGGGGACAGAGTCGGCTCGGCTGCCCTGGGCCACGCGGTGCCCATCCTCGCCCTGGGGGGCAGACAGCGTCGGACGGGGGCGCTAGCACATGACTCAGGGCAGAGGCTGACAGGAGGCGCCTGGCCTGCGGCTGGGGCGGCTGACAACCCCCGGGACCCCTGCGCCGCCCGGTCCCAGTCCCGCAGAGGGTTGGGCACAGCCCCTGAGAACTCTGAGTCGACACCCACGCCCTCGCCATGTTAAAACACGTTCGGGAGGGGAGCTGGGGTCGCCCCCGGTGGGGCTCAGGGCTCGGTGCGGTGCTGGAAGCAGCACCAGCAGTGCTCGGGAGGAGCGTAAGCTACTGGGGACCGACAGTGCTCGGAAGGTGTATGAGGTGCTGGGGACTGAGCCCAGGCCTCCCTCATGCAGCCTGTGCTCCGCCCATTAAGCTACCCTGCCGTCCGGCCATCAAGTATCTGTGTTTTGTGAGGTGCGGGGGGTGAACACCAAACGGGGCTCCAGAGACATGGGTCCTGCTGACAAATCCTGGCCAACGTGCAGTTCAATGCCAAGGCCCAAAGAGCAGAGCTGCTGAGACCACCCAGGGCACCCCAGAGGGTGTGGGGACCTTCCTGGTCACAGCCAGCAGCAATGCTAATGCTTGGGGGCCAGTGTAGGTGCCAGGGAGCAGAGCAGGGCCAGCTTCCGGCAAGGCACTGGCCTCGGCCCCTCACTTCTATCTCTCTGCCCCCAACAGAATTTTTGGTGTGTGGGGGAAGGAGGGCACACACAGCTCTGCTCCGGGCTTACTCCTGGGGGGCTGGGGGGACCACAGGGAGTCCAGAGACGGAAGCGGGGTCCGCCACGTACAAGGCGAGCGCCACACCTGTCTCCCCGGGCTCTGAAAATTTCACAGTTCCTCCCGGAAACAGCACTGGGCATCCAGAGGCCGCCGTGGAGGGGCAGAACTCGGTCCCCCGCAGCTGGCCGTGCCCCGAAGTCCGGCCCCCTGGCTGTGCGGTGACCCGCGGTGAGCCAAGGAGGTCCGTGGAGGCTGAGTCAGGCCCCGCTCCCGCTCCACGCAGCCCGGCAGGTGCTGACTCACACCCACGCAGGAGCTGAGCTACGGGGCCTGCGTCAGTGTCTCCACGGCGGCCGGCAGACGCAGAGCCAGAGCCGGCCTGGGCGGGGGGTGCTGGGGGGGGTGCCGGGGGGGAGGAGCAGCGGGGTAGGTGCGCGTCCTTCCCGCCCCCGCTGAGTGTGCAAGATGGGGAAGATAGAGGATGAGCCGGCTCCAAACCCCGCCAAGTACGTCAGCAGGACGAGCCGTGGCCCCAGGCTCTGTGAGCACCCTCGGGAGGTGCCTCCACCCCTGCAGAGAGCCGGCACCACGGGCCACAGCAGGCCACAGGCCAGGGGAGGGGCCAGCACAGGCTTAGCCCCTGCACTAGGACGGAGCCTCTTTGCACGCATCTCAGTGTCCTGGGGCTGAAGCCCCTCCCCGCAGGAAGGGCGGAAGAGGGGGCAGGAGGAGGCCCCAGGGACCCCCGCACCACAGAGCACTGCCAGGCCCGACACAGAAACAGAAATGGGGGCGGCTGGAGGGAGGACAGTGGGGAGGGTGCCTGCCTTGTTTGGAGGCTCACGGGGACCCCTGAGCACAGAGCCAGGAGTAAGCCCTGAGCACAGCCAGGCAAAATCAGAAGAAAATAACAAACATACAGACAAAAAAAACCTGGCTGCAGTGTGAACGTGTGAGAGAAAGTGCTCGTGGTGGCGCTGAACGGGGCCCACGCGGAGCTGGGGAGCTCATCCATCAGGATTACTCTGGCTGTCTCTCTGTCCTGCGCCAGCGGGTTCACAGGGGGCGGCGGGGGGAGGAGTCTGCGGACCCCGAGACAAGAGCATCCCTGACTCTGTCCGAGAAAATCCCGCTGAGGCCGGGGGGCTCCAGACACTCAGGGCGGCAGCACCCCTACTGCAGAGTGGGGGTAATTCCCATTTCGGGCAGCGCCATCCTGGCATTGCTACTGTCGGCCCTGGTGCTGCTGGCGCCCAGAACACTCTCCAGAACTCTGGACGTGCACCTCGGCCTCCAGGATGACACTGCCCCCTCCCCAATACCCCAGTCCCCAGCCCCATGGGGGCTGCCTGTGGGAAGGGCAAAGGCTTCACTTAGGGCTCCCCCGATCCCAGCACCCCCGCCCCCCCAATCCAGCGGATCCCAAAGTCTCATGGACCGTCCACCCCGGATCTGACCACCGCCTCCGCCAGTGCCCGGGACCCCTGCTCCTGAGCTGTTCTGGAGGGTTCTGCTGCCTGAGCGACATTCTCTGAGTGTGTCAATGCGGCGGCCACCAGCTGCAGGTGGCACCTGGGATGAAGGGGTGGGGCTGACCTGGCCTCCCTTCTGTCCCCCCAGGCCCAGGGATACTGGACAGGCCCTAGGGATAGTGGACTGGCCCAGCGACGCCCACTGCCATGCTGGGGTGCAGGTTAGGAGACAACTGACGGCTTCCCTGCTTGGGCCCCTCATGGGGGCAGGGAGAGAGTGCGAGGGTCACGGGGCGGGCCTTGTTGCTGGTCCTCAGCCCTGCACTGAATTGGCTGCCGGCTTGGCCAAGAATCACCCGTCGGGGGCCCCTGAGCCCCCACAATGGCTCTCCAGCACAATCTCCATGCAACTGATCCCAGCCACCCGTCTACAGGCCAAAATCTCTGGGCATTCTCAGAATGGGGTGAGCCGAATCCCCCCCAAAGACTCCCGCACAGGAAAAGCCACAGTGTCCACCACACACGCCACCTTGCTGGCAGAGAACGGTCCAGTGCCACATCTGCAAAAGAACGCGAGGCCGCAGAACTCTCCCGGGCAGATGGGTCCGGCTGAGGCCACGGGGCCTTCTCGGGATGGGAGGCAGAGTCCCCTTCCTGCCTGGAGGCCACGCCCGGCCCCCTCCCACACCCGCACCGCAAACCGTTGGGCCGCCAAGTGGCCCCAGACCTGAGCTCCCGAACACCTCGGCTTTCCCGGGACTGCAGCGAGTCCCACGGGAGCGGCTGAGACGCCTGGCGGCCCAGAGCCCGGAGAGGACACCCAGGGCCCAGTCAGCACGGCGAGAGACAACAACGGTCTCTGTGATGGCGGCCCCACAGCCCCTTTTCCCTGGGCGGCAGCGAACGGTGCAAAGGAAACCTGTGCCCGCAGGGACAGGCTGGGCTGGGCGGGAGGGGGGGCACGGAGCTGGCGGCACGGTCCCTGCCGGAAACAGCTCTCTTAGGAACGAGGCAGTCAATCACGGCGTGGTAATAATAAAATAAGAAAAAGAAAATAAGAGAAACTAAACTACAGGCACAAAACTGCCGGTCAGGGTGGCGGGTGGGGGCCGGGGGTGGGAGGGGCGTGGGGACGTGGTGGAGGGGTGGGGTGCCTGAACCCCAGCCGTCGACACGGCCTTGGGAAACACGGCTCTCCCGCTGACCCGGCGCCGGCCGTACCTTGTTGATGCTGAACTGGCCCTCGAAGCGGCAACCGGCCCCACTGTTGAGCGGGATCTTCATGGAGTTGTCAATGTGGCCCACCTCGTGCCGGCCCATCTCATCCTGGATGTCCAGCCCCACCACTGCGGAGGCCAGGAGTCATCACGCACGCCCCGCGACACCACCCCCGCCAGCCCATGGACAGACGACAGGGGGGTGGGCCTCGGGGGCAGGGGGCGGGGGTCACAGGTCACAGAAGGGGAGGCGGAGAGGAGGGAAACAGAGGGCACACTGTCCATTTACAGAGGCCCACGCGTGCAGGGGAGACCCTGGAGCGGGGGGCTGAGGGCCGTCTGGATCCTGGCAGTGCCGGGGGGACCTGGGGCTCCTGCAGGCCAGGCCTGCGCCCGACCTCGCCTTTCACCGGCTGCGTAACCCTGACCAGGGGCCATTAAGCCTCCTGATGCCTCAGTTTCCTTCTTCTGTCCAGGGAGGGCGACCATGAATCCTAGAGAGATGCTTCTCAGAAGACCACGAGAGCCAGAGGGGGCTTCTCTAGTCCAGGGTCTGGCGGGCACAGAGGCTCGCACCAGGCCTGGGCACTGGACAGCCAGTGTGCCCTGATGCTGGCACAGATAGGAACTGCTGAGCTGGGGACCGTGGCTCGCCCTGGGGTCTGTGTCTGTCTGCATCTATCTGTCTGTCTGTCTGTCTCTCCCCTCCACCCCCCCCCCCCCCACACACAACCTCGCCTGAGCTGAGGACAGCAGTGATACTAGAGTGGGAGGATGGAGCTGCAGTGGGGTGCCACGGGACAAGGAGAGCCACGGGAGGTGGAGGACCTCGGGAGGTGGAGGGCCACGGGAGCGGGAGGTGGTTCCCCCGAGCACTCACATTCACAGTGCAGGTTGGGCAGGCTGACATTGAGGGTGACGTCGATCTTGCCCCCGCTGTCCTTGTCTGGGTCATCGACGTACAGCTCGTTGACACTGGGGGAGGGAACAGAGAATCGGGGTTGGGGGACCCCATGCACGGAAGGGGGCCCACCGGGAGCGAGCCGGCCCGGACAGGGAGGGGCAGGATGGAGAAGGTGAGCGTGCGGGCCCGGCAGGACATGAATCTCCTGGGGGCTTTGTTCAGGGGAGGGCAGTGGGGCGGGGGGGGGGGGGGGGTATTTTTTTCTGTTTCCTGAGACCCACCAAGCAGTGCTCAGGGCTCACCACTCCTGGCAGGGATCGGGGTGCGGGGAGCAGGGGTGCACTGGCAGACCTGAGGGGTAGGGCCACTGGGAGGGCGCAGCCGGCACGGGCTCCCTGAGGAGGTGATGGGGTGAGGGTGGGGACTCCATCCCCCTGGGGAGGTGGGGCCTCGGATGATGTCACCACCCCTAATCCTGTGGAGGTGACCTCAGCCAGGTGAGTCCAGGTGTGGGGCCCAGGTGAGCTCATGCTTGGGGGCAGGGCCAGTCTGTGCATGGAGGGGCAGAGGCGGTCCCAGCTACGTCAGCTAAGCCACAAGCCAGCTAAGCCAGCTAAGGCCACTAAGGGCCCTCCCACCTCCTCTCTCATTCCTCCCTACCTCTCCCTCCTCCTCCCCTCCCTCCCTCCCTCCCTCCATCTGGCCCTTCCCTTCTCAGGCCCAGCCTGGCCAGGCCCACTGAGCCGGCTCCCAGCTTCTGAGGAGATGCGTATGCCAATGGGGGCGGGGGAATGCACTGGGCGCTGGCGGGGTGGTGTGAGGGGTCCCTGAGCAGTGGCCAGGTAGGGAAGAGGTGGATGAGGCCAGGAGTGGGGTGGGGAGAAGCTGGAACACCACGGAGGCCCCGAAACTCTAGCTGAGCCCGGGGAGGAAAGGCACCTTATTTGCTTTGAGAAGAGCCTGGAATAGTTCAGATTCTTGCCCAGCTGCTGCGTCACGGAATGGAAACTCGCGCAGTGGGCCCGGGGAGCGGGCGGGAGGTCAGGGTGGCACAGACGACCCTCGGGGACCCAGGAAGCCCGAGCCCCCAGGGAGCGGGTCTCACCCACCGTGGCCATCTGCCAGGCCCCACACTCCCGGGGGCTTTCACCAAATTCCCTCACCCGGCCCCAGCCCCTCCCCCCAGGGGACTCTTCCCAAGGTATAAGCCCACCCAGCCCCTCCTGGGCCAGCCATAGACCCTAGCCCACCTCCATTCAGCCTGTGCCCAGGACCGTCCCGGGTGCCCAGAATGGGGAGGGGGTTTCAGGGGGCATGATTCTGGGCCGTCTCTGACACGGGCATCCTCGAGGGGTCCAGGCTGTGGGCAGGGCCCATCCGGAGCGCCTCAGCATGCAGGGACACCGAGGGGCACACGCACAGGGGAGGGGGGTGCCAACCTGCCCCTCGCCACCTTCTGGTGGTCTCTGCCTCAGTCTGGTACAGCCAAACGCGCCCCCGCCAGCTGGGAGCACCGCTTGAGGAGTCAAACCCAGTCCCACGTGGCGCCGCCCCACATTCTAACCCTAAATCCCCAGGGCCAAGTGGTCCAAGCAGAGAGCCCAACAGGGGACCAGGCTCCCCGCTCATGGAGGGGGCTGATACCATGTTCCAGGGGAAACAAAAGACCTCAACTCGGAGCCCCCTAAACAAACAGGCCCCCTCCCCGCCAGCGGGCAGGGCCCGGCTAGTGTGAGGTCATGGCACCGTGGGCCAGTACTCAGGGAGCCAAGCGGCTCCAGCCCACAGTGACCTCATTTCCTTGGGAGGGACAGGAGGGGTGGGGGCACAGGCCCGCTGCGGTCACTACACCAGGCAGGCCCAACCACCCCCAAGAGGGGCGCCACACCCGGCCCCTCACCGCGCACACAGGAGCCCAGGCACAAGTCACCCGGCTGTGTGTGTGCGGTGTGCGTGCCTGGCTGCCTGAACCATCCTGGATCATGGTTGCGTGTGTCTGGGCCCTGCAGGACCACGCACATTACACGGAGGGGCGGAGGCAGCCCTGGGTCAACAGAACAAGGGGAGGGTGTGGCCCACTCAAGTCACAAGCTCCCATGATGCCAGGACCTGCTGTGGGGGCCTGGCCCCAGCACCCCGCCTCACCTGGGGCTCAGCTGACTGAGGAAGGCTTTACCCCATGACGGGGGACCTGGGGGGCACGGGTGGAGCTGGGGCAATGGTCACCTTCCCTCCCTTCTCAGGGCTCTCTCTCTCACACACACACACACACACACACACACACACACACACACACACACACACACAGAGCTCTCTGCTATATACACATCCCCGCTCCTGTCCTGGGGCCGTGGCTCCTGCCAGGCCTCCCAACTGAGGGGACAGGTTGTCCCCCATCTCAGCTGCACCCCCTCTGGATGAACATTCCTGGGGGCCAGCGTGGAGGGGGCAGGCCCCTTGCTCTGTCAGGACCGGCATGCAGGGGGTGTGCAGGGGACAGGGCCCCTCACTCAGTCGCAGGCTCCAGGACAGGGTGACCCCAACGGCAACAAGCCACTCCGCTCCCCCACCCTGAGCTTCTCCGACCAGTGCAAGGCGAGGCCGGGTTGGTGGGGGACAGCCGGGCCCCCCCGCCCCTCCCCCACCACGAGTGTTGCTTCTCCCAGACCCACAGATCCAGCCACAGGCGGAGCAGACAGAGGGGGGCCGCATGGGGGTACCTCGCCCAGTATTCTTCCCGCTGGTCCCAGAGGACACTGGGGCTAAAAATGAGGTCCAGGGCCACCACAAGCAGCACGGGACCAGGATCCCCTCCCTTTCGGGACCCCTCGCTGTCCCTCCAAGCCCGCCTGGAGCAGGGGCGGCCAGCGAGAGCCGTGCTCTCTGCTTTGGTGGCTGAGGCTCCTGGCCCGGCTCCGGGGCGTGATGAGGCCCAGCAGAGCTCTCTCCCAGCCCCTCCCTATCGAGGGTCCCAGGAAGCCAGAGAACACCCCCAGACGGGGGGTGGGGGGTCACTTACACTTCTGTCGTTATGAAGCCGGTGAGCTCCGAGAGGAAGAGGAAGAGGATGAAGAGGCAGCAGCAGACGGAAACTGGAGAGAGAGGGGCGGTCAGGGGGGCGGACACAGCTGGGCTGGTGGACGCATCATTGGCCCCCACTTGGCTGCACAGAGTGTAGTCAAATGGGGCCACACACACACCAATGGCCCCGCTGTGTGTCTGCACACACGCGCGCGCACACACACGGACACGGAAACACAGAAACACACACACACACACGACATGGTAACTCACTGCTGACCCCACTGTCCCACTGTACATCGGCATGCGCACACACACACACACACACACACACACACACACACGGGATGTGGTCACTCACTGATGGCCCCGCTGTACGTTGGCTGGGTGAGGTCCTTGGGCACTTTCCTATAGATGTCAAACCTGCAGAGAGCCAAGGGGACAGGGGTGAGTGCATGCAGAGGGGTCAGGAGGCGGCCACGCACTCTTCTCCCAGGAACCCGCTTCTGCAAAGCTCTGCGTGAGCCCCCCAACTTTCTCCCAGCAGCTCCCACCCGGAGACCCTGTGTGGTCTCCGCCCTCCCGCCAGCCGCAGGGCCAGCAGGGCCAGGACCCCTGGTGAAGGCTCGTCACTGCACTTCACTCACGCAGCACCTTCTGGACTTCAGACAAAACCTCTTTCCCCTTGGCCTGGGGCCCAGCAGTTGACGAAGCTTTCTCTGCTTAAACACAAAGTGCGACAATGGCTGCGGGGGCTCTGGGGCAAACACAAGAGCTCTGTCCACTTCTACATCCCGGCCCCCACGGGTGCGCTGGGCCTGCCCGTCTGGAGCGAGCCTGGGCTGATCAGAGGGGCCAGCCAGGGTCTCGGGTTTGCTGACATCAGGGGCGTCCAAGAAGAGCAAACCTCCCCTCCTCCTCTTGGGCCCTCTTTCCACCTCCTCCCTCGCCCTGCCACCAGCTTCCTTCCCAAGCGGGACCTGGGCTGAGCCCTGAGAGGTCCCCTCGGTGGACACACACGGCCCCTGCCGCCTCGAGCAGGAGCAAGAGAAATGCAGAGTGAGGGGCTTCTCCAAGAGGCCAGTCCCCGCCCCCAGCAGAACTGGCTGGAGGAGGTGGCCCGCGGTTGCCCTCGGGGGACTGAGAAACAGGCCTTGACTCAGGATTCTTGCATCAGACCTGCCACCCCACCCCACTCTCTCTCCCGAGCCCCCAGGGTGCTGGCTGACACCGCCTGCAGGCAGTCCGCCAGGTCCAAGGTGCCACTGTCAGGCCTGCTCAGCTCCCTTGGGACGCGGTACCCAAGCCACGCAGTCAGTCTTCCCTGTTCAGTCCTGCCCTTTCTACCTCTGCCCTGTGTTGGCCTGCCTCAGTTTCCCTGTCTGTTAAATAAGGGCGGCCAGGAGCCCGACCAAACGCTCCCGCAGGGGCAAAGAGCCAGAGTCCGGCATGCTGCTGAACGGCCGCTGGAAATGAGCCTTTGCTAGCACCGCTTATTTCTGGTATAGACAGTCAGACGCAGTGGGGACCAGGTGCTCAGAAACCTGGGACACTGGGGTCTGGGAGAGGCTGTGGAGACCGGCCCCAGGCACCGGTCACTTGGCAGCAGAGCCCCAGAATGGAACCGAAAGAGGTACTCCGTCTACCAGAGGCCCTGACGTGCCTTAGGGAAGCCTGGGGGGCTTTCTGGAGGAGGCAGTATGGGAACAGGGCCAGAGAGGAGGAGAGATGGGGGAGTCCCGTGGGTGGGCCGCTCTAATATAAGATGACAGCAAAAGGGCCTGGGAGGTGCTCGTGTGAGGCCTTAAGGTGGGGCCCAGCACCCACCCTGCCATGGAACAGCACTGGACTGGACGTGACCCTGGATGACCCCAGGAATATGACCCCGGCACTGACCAGCACTGGGAACATCATGAGGTGGGCTGAGCGCTGGACCTTCTGGCCCACCAGCCACTTGGGGGACCAAGAAGAGAAACATCAGACCCAGTTAGCTGGATATGGCTGGCAGCGGCCCCTCACCCCAATTAAAAAAAAATCCTGAAGGGGGGAAGTTCACTTACAATCCTTACATGGGGGGGGGGGGGGGGGCACAAGCAGTTCAGTCTGAAGAGCACACTTCAAAAACTTCATAAACACCGGCCGACGTTACGTGTGCCAGGGGGGTCCACGCAGCTGGAGGGGGCAGGGGGTCTGGGGGATGGGGGTGGGGGGTTGATGGGTGAAACGGGCTAAGCAGGGAGGTAGGACCTGGACGAGGAGGCTCTGGGCTATGACATGGGGCCATGCCACGAGGGTGCGCCAAGCCTGGCACGGGTTTCTGCTGGCCTGGGGGCAGGGACACCACCCTCCTGGGGACGGGAAGAAGACGAAGTCATGTGGGACTTCATCCAAGTCACCGAGGCTACGACTCGCAGCGCTGCAGGACACCAGGGGCCCGTCCAAGTCCCCAGAACTCAGCAGTGATTGGCTTTTCCCAAGGGACCGGGGCCGCCCCCAGAGTGAGGGGTCAGGTGGACACCCCATCGCCCCCGCCCCAGGCAGCAGCGAAAACCCAGCCCCTCAGGAATGCCTGGGGGGTCCCCAAGAGGGTAGCACAAAGCACAGCTTCTCCAAGAGCAACCACGACTCCCAGCTGGGAGGGCAGGCGGGACAGGTCAGGCTGACCACAGCCATGTGTGGCAGGGGCCCCAGGAGGCCGGGATGGGCCAGGAAGTGACCATCCCCTCTGGCCCACATGAGTCAGCTTTGAACAAACAGGGCCGATAGGTGACACGGAGATATGGTACATGGGGTGGCCATGGGCCCTCGGCCTCCGCCAACCTGTGTCTCAGGACTGGACCCGTTTCAGGGCCAAGCCAGGAAAGTTCCCACACTCATGAACCCAAGGGCCCGAGCAGGGGCCTAGAGGACACTGGAATGGACGTGCCGGGCCCTGGCGGGTGGACCAGTTAAAGAGCGGCTGGGCCGTCAGAGAGAGCGCAGCACATCTGGCAGGGACGACAGAGGGGGAACCTTGGGTGCAGAGTCAGACCCGAGCACTGGCGGGGGGGGCAGAAACCAAGTGGGGTTCGACCTCCAGGGCTACGGCGCAGCTTCAGGGGCCGCAGGGGCAAGACCTGGGGAACGGATGGGAGAGGAAGTGGGGATGCCGAGACCCCTCTTCTGGGCTGTTTAAGGTCACTCCCTTTTCAAAGAGCTTAAGGCAGGGGGCACCAAGGGGACTGAAGGCAGCCTGAGCTCAGCGGGCACTGGTCCAGGGGCATGGCTGGCACAGCTATGCACCCCCGTCCGGCCTTGAAGCTTCTCAGACATCCCCGGGTCCGGCGTGCCACTCCACAGACAGAAAGCAGAAGCCCTGGGCAGAGGTGCAGGCCGGAAGAGGAAGCACTCACGGCCGGACAGGTCCATGAGGATCTGCGAGGCCTCCCGACACCCACCAGTGCCCGGAAGAGCCAGGGCAGGGGTCGAAGGGGTGGCTAAAAGAACAAAAACCCCTTGTGCCCACTGGTGACCGAGATGCACCGTCTGCAGGCAGCTGACCGCACTCCCGCAGGAAGCTCGCTGGACCTCTCTCCCCAGCCCTTCGGCTGCAACGCCAGGGCCAAGAGTGGCCGTGACCATGACAGCTGCCCGCAGGCATCGGGAACCTTGAGGGAGCGGCCCTGCCCTGCCCTACCCTTTGGGCCCCGTGCCTGAGGGCAGGAGGGGGCTGAACACGTCGGGGTGAGAGGGCCCGGGGCTCCCAAGGGAAACCCAAGTTGCCCTGTCCACACGTCACACTACACACACCCCCAGTGAGAAAACCCCTGAGGAGGCCCACAGGGCTGGGGTGCAAGCGCTCGCCCCATCCCAGAATAAAAGAAAAAGGTCTGGCCAAACGAGAACAGAGGACCTCCGTGACCGAAATTCACTCTGCGCCCACCCAATCAGGGATGGCGGCAAGAACCTCCTCCAAATGAACGCCCGGAGGCCGGGCCGCGTGCCCAGTCCTGGCGAATGGACTCCTCAGCTCGTCGCTTTTCGTAGCAGAAGGCCTCTGTGGGCGGGCAGGGGCCCTGCCACGCCACTGTTTCCAGGGCGAATGGAACCAGAGCCCACCAAGGGACAGGTCACTGGAAGACGTAGGTCACTGCTCCCTAAAATAGCCAGCAGGGCTGTCGACTGGCACTTCGGCCTGGGCACACTGCCCGCTGGGTCCCAGTGCCAGAGAAGTCAGGTTCACTGGGACATAATCTTCAGCCCAAAGAACCAAAGATGGTGTGTGTGTGTGTGTGTGTGTGTGTGTGTGTGTGTGTGTGTGTGTGTGGTGGGGGGTTCCCAGTGGTGGCCCTTCAACTTCCAGTCTTATCTGGCCCGCCGGAGAGGGCTAAGGGGGTTCTTCATACCCTCTGTGGCTCTCCCCACATCTCAGTGCCCGTGTCAGGGGCTTGAGCTACAGGGCCCTGAAGTCCCGCCTTCCCTGCCCACCTGGGTAGCCACCATGGAGTGGGAGCAAAGTCGCCAGCTGAGCCCTGGAAGCCCCTTCTTGGGCAGCTGCCCCCACCCACCCAGCGCTCTGCGGACGAGGCAGCCAGCACAGGCAAGAGACCCCCTCGTGCCGCAAGAAGGTGCCACACCCCGCAGGCTGCTGGGACACAGCCTGGGCCCTGTCCCCAAATCTCCCACCCGATAGTGGGCAGTTAAGTGGGGGTGAAATGGCCACAACAATGGATGGCCAGAGCTACAGTCTGGAGGTGGCGGGGGGTTAGGGGGAAATGAAGAGCCACAGCAACAAAGGAGCCAAGGCAGCCAGTCTCGCGGTCTCATGCTGTTCGGCCGGGCGCGTGTGCTGACCGGGGAGGGGGGAGAGTGGGTTTGGGGGTGGTTATAAAAATACATTTATAGTCCAAACATAGTAACAGTCAAAGTCATCGGAACGGGAGGTTTTGTTTATAGAACTGAGCTGACGTAGGGGGCGTGGAGGGTGGCAACCACGTGAGCGTTCGTGCCCCCTGGGAAAATGCGGTAAGAGGGGCCACGACTCCAGACCAAGAAAACGGAGAATGTTCTGGAGACGGACCACACCGAGTGCGGGTGAGGATGGAAAGCAATTGGATATGACACGGCGTGGCCTCGACAGAGAGCCTGGGCTGCCTTCTAAGGTCTGACAGACGGGCCGAGAAAGAGCACAGCGGGGAGGGGCTGCCACGCACACGGTGGGCAGCAGGTTAGGCCCCCAGCACCGCACAGGGTCCCCCAAGCCCCTCCAGGAGGAACCCCAGAGCAGAGCCATGAACAGAACCTGATCACCACCAGGCGTGGCCCCCAACGCCAAAGCAAAAGGGTCAAGCAGGCCCCAGGCCAAGGAGACAGCGCAACAGGCTAGAGCGGGTGACTAGGTTTGAGCCCCGGACTCCCAGGGACCCAAGGGTTCTTGGGCGCCA